CAAATTCGCCTCTTGTTCTGCCTCTTCCTCTTCTCCTGCCCTCTTCCTCTTCTCCCTTTTTTCTGCAGGTCGTTCAAAGCAGCCGTGCAGCTATTCTGGATAGCAGGGCAACGACTGACTCCCACTTCCACCCCTCTTCCTCCTCCTCCTCCTCCTGCTGCTGCTGCCGCCGCCTCTGCTGCTACTCCTTCCTTAACTCCCACCATCACCCCTTTCAACCCTCCGCCCGAATCCCTCGTTGCCCATCTGCTGCATTCATTGGGCGTGCCAAAGAAGGGCAAGGGGCCGACAGCAAGGCGGGCACGGGAGATGGTGGCATGGGAGCAGGCACTCCGCTCCTCCCTTCGCCGCCTGCTGAATGACGGCTGCTCCTCCTGCCCCTGCTCCCCCAGCTGCTGCTCTTGCTCTTCCTGCTCCGCTCTTCCCTCTCCCGATGCCGCCTCACCATCTACCTCCACCGGTGATGCTCGCAACTCACAGATTCACAGCCTTGCCATTCACACCTTCACCTGCTCCCATCTTCCTTTGTCCCCTGGGACCTCCTCGCTTCTCTGCTCAACCTCGCCAAGCAAGCCGCCTCTCTTCCCTCCACTACCGCTCCTTCTGCCGCCACCGCTGCTGCCACTACTGCAGCAGCAAACGCCCCCACTAATACTTCCCCCCTGCCATCTGCCAGCCTGACTGCCTCGCTCCGTTCACCCCTCGCCCTCCTCATCTCTCTCCTGCTTTCGGAGCTCGTCCCCTGCCCCTTCTCCCGTGCTGCTCTCTCTCTCTTGCTCTTAGTGGACCCGCTTCATCCCTCATCCGCTGCTGCTGCCACCTGCATTGGTCAAGAGCAGCGGCAGCAGAAGGAGAATTGTCAGCAGCAGCAGCAGCAGCAAGAAGGGCAAGTGAGTGCAGAGGATGCGATTCGAGGCCTTTCAACGTGGCAGCTGCAAATACTTTCCACCTTCCTCCGCCACATGCTCCCATCTGCACTCCCTACCAACCAGCAGCAGCAGCTCAATCTCACACCCAGACGCACCACACTTCCCTCCCCGTCCTCCTCTCCTTCCTTCCTCCTCTCCCCTCTCCTCCCTCCCCCCGTCTCGTCCGGAAAACAAGGGACAGCGTTGCAGGTTTGGCAGCAGAGTGCGCAGGAAGGAGAGGAGGAGCAGATAGGAGGAGGTGCGGGACGGTGGAGTCAGGTGCAGCGGGTGCAGGAAGGGTTGAGAAGGATGCATCAGGAGTTGCAGCAGCGGCTGGCTTTGTCTGTCATAGTCTCTGCAGCTTTGAACCGCGGTGATAGAACGAGGCAGGAGAACGATACAGCAGTGGGGGGGCCAGCAGGGGGGCAAGCAGGAGTGGGGGGAGCAACAGCTGGGGAGGAAGCAACAGGGGGTTGCATGGAGCAAGCAGCAGTCAACTCATGCCACTGGGTGCTCTCTCAGACCACACACACCACCACTGTTGCTGCCGCTGCTGTTGCTGCTGCTGCCGGTGGTGATGCTAGTACTGTAGGTTTGAATAGGGGCACACAGGAGCAGACCAGCGCAACGGAGCCAACTTTCCCAGTGCATCCCCTTCTCGCGACCTGTGCGCACGCATTTGAACACCGGTAAGTACTAAGAAGACTTGTTTTGTTGATATGCAGCTGCATAAATACCCCACTTTCCGCTTCCCTTTCTTCCCATCTCCTCCCCCTTCCCTCACTGCAGGCCAGGAATCACAACCCCAGCCACACTCCCCACTCCTCACCATATCCCTGTCTGCCCGGCCACACTAAAGCCAATCAATGGCACCCAGTCAGCGTGGCATTGTTTGTCCTGTAGCCGCCGGATTTCCACCGAAGGCATGCTCTGCCTGGACGCTTGCCGCCCGTTTTTCCTGCCCCCGGGCAGGCAAAACTTCTGGGTCCGGGCAGAGGCATGGACAGAGCTTGTAAGGGCAGCCTTAGAGTCATCATCATCTGAAGCATCACAAGAAGTCGGCAAATCATCAGCTGGAGCTTCAGGGAATCAGCCAATCCCTGCTTGCATGCGTGAAATGGAAGCTACAGAGGAAGGAATGCTGGTGAGAGGAAAGGAGGTAACAGCAGCAGCGATAGTCACCACCATGCCTGTTTGCCCGTTCTGTGGAGTGCAAGTTGTTGCTCCCACCCCGCCTACCCTGCTGTCTCCCTCGCTTGTGTGACATAAAGCCATTCCTGTTCACGAGCATGGAAGTTGATGGTAACAGAAGAGGAGGTAACAGCTGCAGCAGCGGCAGTCACCACGATGCCTGTTTGCCTGTTCTGTGCGGTGCAGACTGCTGCTGCCAGCCTCCCACCCCACATACGGTACGCTGCAGCATCCCTCAATTACTTTTCATGAAGGCAGTTCCCTGCTTGTACACAGGAGGGGGCAGGGGCAGTTCCCTGCTTGTACACAAAAGGGGACAGTCCCCCAACCATCGTTGACTTGTGCTTAGCATAATTCACTCCTTGAATGTCATGCAATCAGCTATAACCATAATGAAGTACGGTACTGTACCATCTCGCCACAAGGCTACAACAGTATGTCGTTGCTGTATATCAAGGATACCAAGGCGAAATACACATCCAGATTGTTTATCCAGTAGTGAATCAGCCTAACAGACGCTAAGCTCTCAACCTACTGTACATGAATCCAATATACTAGCCCGAGCTGCTGAGGAGTCAAATGGCAGGCTGCCAAGGCGGGTAGTCACACAGAGAGCAACTGAGGAGTCAGGTGTAAGCAGGCAGTCAAAAGGAGTGCGCCGCCAGGAGACCAAAAAGGGATTCACTGACTGGACTGACATGCGCGAGCAGCAAATGCAAGCACATGCAACCATGTGGAGGATCAAGCAGCTGGGGAAGCAAACAGCATGGTGTGAATGCAGTGTGATAAAGAACTACCATGAACTCACAAGGAGAGCGCCAGGAGACCAAAGGCGCGCACTGACTGGACTGACATGCACGAGCAGCAAATGCACGCGCATGCAACCATGTGGAGGATCAAGCAGCTGGGGAAGCAAACGGCATGGTGTGATTGCAGTGTGCGAAAGAACGACCATGAACTCACAAAGAGAGTGCCAGGAGACCGAAGGCGCGCACTGACTGGACTGACATGCATGAGCAGCAAATGCAAATAGAGGCAGCTGAGGCAGCTGAGCAGGAAAGCGCATACAACCATGTGGCAGATGAGGCAGCTGGGGAAGCAAATAGCATGGTGTGAATGCAGTGTGCTCAGAGAACAACCATTTCACATGGCAAACCGAAGGAGGTGAGGCAAGGAGCAGAGGCCAGAGGACAGGTAGCAGGTGTGGGGAAGGGAAGATGAGGGGGTGAGCGGGAGAGGGGATTGAGGAGAGCTGTGAGATGACGGGTAGGGGCAGGGGGAACGACGGATGGTAAGGAGGGACAGGAGAGAGGGGAAAAAGGGGGGGGGGGAGGATGGGGGAGGGTCTGGAGAGAGGTAGATGGGAATGAGGAGATGAAGGGTGAGTGGAGGGGGAATGTGGGTTGGGAATGTGAGAATGGGAAACGGACTGGAGAGAGGTGATGGATAGGAAAAGGTAATGAGGAGCGTATGAGTGGAGTTGATGAGGGGTGAGCGGGGGAAAGGGGAGGGGAGGGCGGGGGGGATGAGGGATGGTTAGGACGTGAGAATTGGGGGAAGATGGCGGGTGAGTGGGGTTACAGTGGGAGGGGTCGGAGCGGGGGGGAGTGGGGGATGGGGAGAGCCGGGGAGATGAGGAACAAGCACAGAAAACGAGAGGGAGAGCGCTGAAGATGGGGGAAGAGCGGGGAAGATGAGGGGAGAGTGGGGGAGACGAGGGAGCGCGGAGATTTGAGGGGAGAGAGCAGATGCGGGGAAAATGAGGGGAGAGAGGGGGAGAAAGGGGGGAGCGGGGATTTGAATTGGGGATGCGGGATGCGTGACGTTTCTAGGCAAGGTCGGGGGAACAGGGGGGAGGGAGGGGGACGGAACCGCGGGAAGGAAAAGGGGGAAAACAGGGGAAAGAGGCCACTCCGCTTCTACCTTTCGCCAGTCTTTCCCTTTATAAATCAGATGCAGGAGATTAAAAATCGTCAGATCTTAGCAGTACGGGGAAACGGCAGATACGATTACTGTGGCAAATCTGGAGAGAGAGCAGCTAGCAGTACCTTCGACGCTAGCAACGCCGCACTAAATGTGTGAAGCGGCAAACGCTAAAGTAGGACTGAAACGCGAACGAGACTAGCTACGGGACTAAGATGTAGATAAGGTTAGAAACTCCATGCGAAAAATAACTACCGCTTTTGCCTAAAGAAATCAGTAAGCGAGGGCAGCGAGATGTACGGTGATGGGAGAAATCGTCGCTGCTTTGATCTAACAGAACGGAACTAGCTAGCAGAACAGGATAATGACGAATGAGAAGAATTAGGTCTGGAAGGTCAGAGATTGTGAGGTCGGTTCAATGCCTCGGTGGTGGTTGTGCCAGGGTGATGGAAACATTCTGTCCGTGCTGCCGTGGCAACACCCTTCATGTCTATTGGTTCGCGGAATTTCCTTCAGAATCAATTTGTATTTTCAGCTGCCCATTTGAGGTTCGGAGAGCCAACAAATATTGCGATTTTTTCGCGCCAAGCAAGAAATTGTTAACTATCCATCCGCCGTCCCGCACCTTACGCCAAAATCACGCAAGGACTCTATATTATTTATAAAAGCGCCACGTCACCACCTACTAGAATGTTCAAGCCTGCCCTAGCCCATACTTCTCCAATGTCCAAAATCCTCACCATCAACCATCCCACACAGATACGCGCCCTCAGCAGATTCGTTTGCAGAAAGAGCAACACAAACCAGTAATACAAAATCAGCCAGCGGTGTATCGCCAGGCACTTGTCCACTTCTACAGAAGCAGAGTCGTGTTCTTCAGTTCAGGTTCAGGGCTCTGTCCAAGGTGTTCTTCAGTTAAAGGCGTTGGAAAGTCGAAGGAACTTTCATTCAGTCAGAACGGCTAGCTTTCTAAGCCCCCTAAGCCAAGTGTAAACAGATCCTCTTGCGGCTCCACAGCAGCACATCCACAGCAGCTTCTTGACCGTCTTCTTGAGCCTCCACAGCAGCTTGGCCGTCTTCTTGAGCCTCCACAGCAGCTTGGCCGTCTTCTTGACCCCTCTTGGCCGTCAGAGGCAAATACCCCTGACGTTACACCCACGCACCACGATGAGGTGAGGGCCATTCGCGTGGGGCCTGCTTGGGAGGGAGGGGGGCGGGGCGAGAAAGTGCTTGGGAGGGGGGGAAACGGTCAAAATTAGTGACGGCAGATGAAAATAAACACCTCGAATTTGACGATAGGTTCCCCGTTGTCAGAATGATGTCATAATGACGGCCAGCCGTCAATAGGACGGCCAGCCGTCGAGGCATACCTGAACGCACCTGATTACCACCCGTACCATCGCCCATGTTAGTGCCTAATCGAGTCTATCTAACGCGCTCCTAATCGTCCTATACCCATGTTAGTACCCATCACCACCCCTCTTACAGGCCTGCCGTTTGTGCTGTTTGCTCCCGCTCCCGCCAAACTGTCAGAAAGGGCGGGATGGGAGGAGGAAGTCAAATTCCATCCTCGCTCCTTGCTCCTTCCAGAGAGAAGCGCCGCCAAGCGCCGTGCGCCAGTGTCCGCGCCTTCGCCAGTGGGACACGCCGTGCGCCACATGCATCCCCATTGTCGCCGCATGCATCCCCATTGTCGCCGCGCGTCTCCGCTCATCGCCGCGAGCCCCCACTCGTCGCCGCGCGTCGCCATTCGTCGCCGCGTTTCCCTTGCGTCCCCATTCGTCGCCGCTTGTCTCTGTGTGTCGCCTCGCGTCCCCCGTTCGTCGCCATTGTCGCCGTGTATCGTGCGCGTCAGCCGCTGCAGGAAGAAAGCAAAGCAGCACGTCAGAACGTAGAATAATCAAATAAATAAATCAAATAAAAATAGTGCAGACAAGACGCGTTGAATCTGGATCGCTAAAACTGATGAAAGGTCACACTATACCTCTGCTGGAGTGTCCCATTGCGACGTCCCCTTGCAACGTGAGACACGCCATCTCGTCGCCGTCGCGCGCCATTCGTCGCATGCTTCGCCACCCCCAAGCGTCCCGTGCGCCGGCGGACGGTCAGGTTCTGCAGGAGTAACAAGTCAAGGAAAAACAGCCGACAATAAGTTAGATTCTTGAAGAGGTAAAGACAAGACGGAAGCAAACTAAGACTTACCACGGCAGAGAGAAGCGCCTCGCCAGCAGGACACGCCGTGCGCGCGCCTGAAAACCATCGGCCGTGCCGCGCCATGCGTCCCCATTCGTTCGCCGCGTGTCTCTGTTCGTCGCCGCGCGTCTCCCGTTCATCGCCATTCGTCGCCACGCGTTCCCATAATATGTCGCCGTGCTCCCGTGCACCAGCGTACGGTCGGGCTCTGCAGAATAGGATGAAACGGTAACAAAAAATAAAGTTAGATTCTTTGAAACGGAAACAGACAGACGAAATCAGATTAAGATGAAACCGACGGGACTTACCCTCTCTCCCGTTGTTGCTCCCACGCTCCCGTTGTCGCTCCTCGTCCTGCCGTTGCTGTTGCTACCTCCTGCACTGAAGACATAGCACACGGAATCAACCGTTAGTATTCATGTTTAACGAGGTAAATCAAACTTGGCTGAAGCTGACGCTACTAACCAGTGAAAGTAGAGGAAGAGCTCACTCTCCTGTTGTCGCTCCTCCTCCTGCCGTTGCTGCCGCTACCTCCTGCACTGAAGACAAAGCACACCAAATCAACCGTTAGCACTGAAATTTAAACTTGGCTGAAATTGAAGCTCGATATTCTGAAAATTAGGAACTTGTCGTACCAGAGAAAGAAGAGGAAGAGCTCTCTCTCCCGTTGTTGCTCCTCCTCCTGCCGTTGCTGCCGCTACCTCCTGCACTGAAGACAAAGCACGCGAAATTGAACGTTAGTATTCATCTTTAACGAAGAGAATCAAACTTGGCTGAAGTTGACGCTACTTACCAGAGAAAGTAGAGGAAGAGAACTCTCTCCTGTTGTCGCTCCTCCTCCTGCCGCTGCTGCCGCTAAATCCTGCACTGAAGGCAAAGGACACGAAATCAAACGTTAGTTTTCATGTTTAACGAAGAAGATTCAACTTGGCTGAAGTTCAAGCTACTTACCACAGAAAGACGAGGAAGAGCTCTTTCTCCCGTAGTCGCTCCTCCTCCTGCCGTTGTTGCCGCAAGCTCCTGCACTGAAGACAAAGCACACGAAATCAACCGTTAGTATTCTGAAAATTAAACTTGGCTGAAAATGATTCTGAAAATTAGGAACTTGTCTTACCAAAGAAAGACGAGGAAGAGCCCTTTCTCCCGTCGTCGCTCCTCCTCTGCCGTTGCTGCCTCCTCCGAAGTCCTCCTGCACTAAGAGAACACGAACACGAAAAAGGCATTAAGTATACGGAAAAGGAAGCAGCGAAACGAAAGCAGACGGTTCTTACCGTGAAAGCCTCCTTTGTTCGCCGCAGCCCCCGCGAGCTCCCTTCCGCCACTTCCGCTGCGCTAAGAGAAAGGAACACACAGAAAGAAGTTAGTTTCATAAACGAAGAAAAAGCTTAACGAAATTCGACGAAACTTACCATGCATAGGAGACCACCTCCCTTGATCGTCGCTGACCCGCGAGCTCCCATTCCCGCGTCCGTTGTTCCCGCATGCTCCTCCTGCGCTCAAGGCAACAAACACTAAAGCAAACGTTAGATTTCGAAAAGGAATCAACATAACTGAATCTGACCGTACTTACCAGAGTAGAGAAGAGCTAGCTCTCCTTTACCTCCCTCACTCGCTGTAGTTGCTGCTCCTCCTGCTGCAAGGCAGTAAGAGGAACACGACAAAGGCGTTAGATATCCGGAAGAGGAAGCAGCAAAACGGAATTAGACGGTTCTTACCGTGAAAGCCGCTCGGGCTTCTATCGTGGTCGACGTAGACGTTGACGTTGACGTTGACGTTGACGTCGACGTTGACGTTGACGGTCGTCTTGGTCGTCTTGGTCGTCTTGGTCGTCTTGGTCGTCTTGGTCGTCTTGGTCGTCTTGGTCGTCTTGGTCGTCTTGGTCGTCTTGGTCGTCTTGGTCGTCTTGGTCGTCTTGGTCGTCTTGGTCGTCTTGGTCGTCTTGGTCGTCTTGGTCGTCTTGGTCGTCTTGGTCGTCTTGGTCGTCTTGGTCGTCTTGGTCGTCTTGGTCGTCTTGGTCGTCTTGGTCGTCTTGGTCGGCTTGATTGTTGACGTTGACGTTGACGTCTTGGTCGGCTTGGTCGTTGACGTTGACGTCTTGGCCTTTCTTCATTCCTGGCTGCGCATCGACCACGTCATGCCACGAGTGAGAAAGGCCGAAGAAAGAAAACGGAAGATGACGAAACGAAAAACGACGACGAATCTGAGAGGCGTCGCTGGCGCGGTGCGAAGCGCCGTGCGACGGGTGAAGGGTCGCCATGCTCCTGCCGAAGCGACGCCGTGCGACGGGGTACTCGTCGCCATGCCCCAGACGAAGCAACGACGGGAGAAGCGCCATGGACGGGTCTCCTCACCATCTGCAAGGAACAAGGAAACCGTCAGTTGAACCGTTGAAAAAATGACGAATAACCATCGAAACTGCTGCTGGTGTTATCGTGTTCTTACCATCCGGCAATCAAAGCGCCACTAGCGACGGAAGAACCGTCATCAGCCGCATTCGCCGCCATCCGCCGTGCGAAGAGCCGCACGAAGGGAAAAACGCGTCGCCAAGAGCCAACCAAGGGTCTCCTCACCATCTGCAGGAAGAAAGAAGAAGCGTTAGCTGAACTGTTGAAAGAAGGACGAATAAGGTAGCATGAATATAAAAGATACTATTGCGTTCTTACCATCCGGCAATGAAAGCGGCACTAGCGCCAGAAGAACCGTCATCAGGGGCACGCGCCGTCACCTAACGCCACGCGACGATAGAAGCGCCACTCGCGACGATGGGAATATCACGGCATCTGCATCTGCAGTGCATGAAACAACGGAACCGGAAATATAAAACGGAACGCGTGCATGAAATATACGTTAGTGCAGATATGTAAAAAAATGAATTGCAGTTGAAGAGCTCTGAAACGGAACCGCACTTACGTTCATTGTGATCAGGCTTGAAAAAGAACTTCATCGTAAAGACTTGAGTGAAGCGTCGCCAAACAGAAAGTGAACTTCCGTGCGACGGGAGAGTCGCCATGCACAATGCTGCAGAAGCCGCAGCGTCCGTTTTTCATTGACCCGAGTCAGTGACGTTGTGAAGCTGGATTTCCTAGGAAATGCAGCTCCGCAACGACACTGACTCGGGACAAAGCAAGGCGGACGCTGCGGCTTCAGTGGCATTGTGCATGGCGGAAATCGCCGTCGTCGTCGTTGAGTGAGAGCTTGGTCGATTGAAGGTTCCGTCGGATGGCCTCTCAAGGTCGCCTGCAGGGTCAACGAAAAACACGTTAGTATTATCTCCTTCAAAAAATAATTAAAGCTTAGAAACAGAGGAAGTTCAAAAAAGAACGAAACGCTTATTTAAAAAAGGGAGAATGCACTTACGCCAAGCGTCTTCATCTCTTCGTGAAAACGTGAAGACTTCACGAAGCGACGGTGGTAGATCCTATCCGCGTGCGGTGTTGTTGACGGTTCAAGTGTTAGCGTCGGCGATTCAAGTCCTTGCGTTGACACTTCGAGTCAAGACGGTCGCCAAGAGGTCTGCGCGGAATAAAGCAAGAGGTCAGTGCTTGAACAATGTTGAACGATTTAGAGCTGAAGAAATTAACCGGCCAAAAACGGTTGCAAGAAGAAGTTGAAATCAAGTTGCACTTACCCCCACTCGACTGTCTTAATGAGACGGGGGCACCGATGGGGAAGGCCACTTGAAGCACTTGGAGCCGTGAAGATGTCGCCTTGGAAGAGCTTGACTTGAAGATCTTGGCTTGAAGATCTTGCGGGTGAAGATCAAAATCTTGGCTTCAATGTCGGCGCTTCGAGTACCGTCAAGACGGCCAAGAGGTCTGCGGGAAGAAAGCAACAGGTCAGAATCTGTTGAACAATGTCGAGGCATTGAGTGACAGAACGAAGTCGAAATAGTTGCCGCTTACCTCCACTCGACAGTCTTTGTGTTGGTGGTGAAGGCCGGAGCGGAGCCGCGAAGATGTCGCCGCGGAAGTTATTGTCGCCATGCAGATCTCGCTGCGGAATCTTGAATTTGCCGCGAAAACCCCGTGTTGTACATAGAGGGCTCAAGTGTTAGCGTCGGCGATTCATGTCTCCGCCGAGAGGTCTGCGGAAGGAAAGAAAATCAGATTAAAACTTGAACTATGTTGAACCAATCAGAACCTAACTTGCCAAGAAATGGTTGCAGCAAGGAGTTGAAAAAAAAGGACTTACCGACTCGTGAGACTTGGTCATGACGGCCGCGCCAGCAGGGGAGGCGCCATGCGACACCTGAAGCTCTTGAAGCTCATGAAGCACTTGGACCACTTGGAGCACTTGAAGCCCTTGAAGCACTTGAAGCTCCTGAAGCCCTTGAAGGTCTTGAAGCTCTTGCAGCAGCGATCTTGAAGCGGAGGCGTCGCCATTAAGATCTCGCTGCGAAGATATAACCGTGGAAGTTTTTGGCGTGAAGATCTTGTAGTGAGGATCTCGCCATGCAAATGTTGCGGTGATATCTTGAATTCGTCGCGGTGAAAAACTTGCCGCGTAAACCCGGTTTTGTGAATGGTTCAGCCATAGGCACTTGGCAGCTCGCTCAGACTCTAATCTACCCAACCCCCCAACCACGCTATTCTACACGAGACTCTCTACGCGACCTAACGCTGCCGCATGCCTAGGCTTTCCCCATTCACTAGCCGGGTGGCTTCAGATAGCTTTGGTTTGCTCCGAGGAGCGAGTAACTTGAAGTTCAAAAGGAGCTCAATAAGTTGGAGCTTTACTGGAAATCCTTCATTGAATTCGTGAAGGAAGAAACTGGAAATGAACGCCACAAATGGGACTTTACAGGAGCAGAGGTGAGTTGAGGGTGAGGAGGAGGATGAAGCAACTGAACCAGAACGAGATAGCTTGTTGGTTGGCGGCACCACGGCGCAAAACAGCGCGACTCCAACCCAAATGTGATGGGTCAAAGCCGCAAAGCGGCTGAAGGTACTCCCTGTCAGGGTGGGTCAACCCTGCAGTGGCGATTTCAAAATACCCGCCTACGAAGTGGCTTGGACGGATATTCCGAGTCGCATGGTCTGGCAAATGGCGGCCAGAATTTCCGAACCGAATCCCCAACCAAAACCAGTACATTTTATTTCACAAACAGGGTAAATTTCGTATATATGGTTGTATTGTTCTTTCTGCAAACGAATCTGCTGAGGGCGCGTATCGCTTGGGTGAGGTTGGTTGGGAACTGTGGGTTACAAAGAAGTAAGGGCAGGGCAGGCTTGAACTTTCTAAGAGGTGGTTGACGTGGCGCTTCCCTAAAATATTAAACTACGAGTTTTTCCGTGAGTCTTGCGTAAGGTGCGGGACGGCGGAGGGATGGTTCGAGAAATCTTGCGTGGCGCGGAAAGTTTAGCTTTTCTCCGCGTTTCATTTTGCTCCTCCGAGCCTGACTTGGGCAGCTGAAAATATGAATGTGATCCTGAAGAAATTTAGCTAGCCAATAGGGATGAAGGGTGTTTCCACGGCAGCACCGAATGTCTCTGTCACCCTCGCGCAAGAACCAAGGCATGAATCGACAACCCCGACCTCACAATTTCTCACCTGCCATACCTAATTCTTCTCTTTCAGCATTATGCAGTTCTGATAGTTACTCTCCCCTTACATCAAGTCAGCGAGTATTAGTTTTCCTGTCATCGTTCATCTCGCTGCCGTCGCTTACTGATTTTTGGAGGCAAAAGCGGTAGTTCTTTTTCCCATGGAGTCTCTGATCTTGTTTCTGCAACTCGTTAGATCTCAGTACCGTAGCTAGTCTCAATCGCGCTTCAGTCCTACTCCAGCGCTCGCCGCTTCACATATATAGTGCGGTTACTATTGCTGATCTTAGTAAGGTGCTGTTAGTTGCTCTCTCCAGATTCGCGCCAGTAGTGGTGATTGGCGTTTATATGTACTGGTAAGATCTGAGGATTATATAGCTCATCTGCGGTACTAATTTTTGTGCGCCGATTTGCAGATACAGTCGTTACGGTTTTTTTTTTAGAGAGTGATTTCGGGTCGAAGAAAAAAAAAGCGGACACATTCATTTCAAGTTTGTATCGCTCGAGACTTATCATGCAAACGCATGATACGAACGCAAGGCACGATGCGCACAACTGTGGAAAAGAGGAAGTCGGAAGGGGAGGGGAGAGGTAAGGGAGCGGAGGGGAGGGGGTATCGACCTGTGGAAGTCCTTATCGGAGTAAAAAAAAAAAAAAAAAAAAAAGACTGGCAAGAGGTGACAGGCGGAGTGGCCTCTTTCCCCTAAGTTTCCCCCTTTCCCCTCCTCGTGCTTTCGTACCCCTCCCTCCCCTCTAGAATCGTAACCCATCCCGCATCCCTCAAGCTCTCCCCTCATATTCCCCGCTCTGTCCCTCTTCTTCAGCGCTCTCCCCTCATCTCCCCCGCTCCCCCATCCCCCACTCCCCCACTCCCTCTCCCTCTTTTCCCTGCGTGCTCCGCTTATCTCGTCGCGTTTCCTTTCTCCCCCCTTTTTGCACCCAACCCTAAACTCCACACCACTCTTCCCCTCCCCCACTCTTCTCCCACCCCGCTCTCACCCCTCATCTCCCTTCCCTCCTCTCCGCTCCCACTCTCCCCGCTTCACTGCTCAACTTATTCACTCCCCTCGCCATGTCTCACGCCCTAATCATCAACGAACCCCCCTGCCCTCCCCTCCCCTTCCCCCGCTCACCCCTCATCAACCCCACTTATACACTCCTCATTACCTTTTCCCACCCATCCCCTCTCTCCAGTCCCTTCTTCCAGCCAACCCACAATCCCCCTCCGCTCACCCGTCATCTTCTCATTCCCAATCACCTCTCTCCAGACCCTCTCCCACCCTCACCCTCTCCCCCCCCCCTCCTCCCCTCTCTCCTGCTCCTCTAACCATCCGTCGTTCCTCCTGCCCCTGCCCGTCATCTCACAGCTCTCCTCAATTCCCTCTCCCGCTCACCCCCTCATCTTCTCTTTTCCGCACCTGCTACTTGTCCTCTTGCCTCTGCTCCGTTCCTCAACTCCTTCGGTTTGCTGCTCCCTTTTGGGTAATTGTCTTAAGTGGTTTCTCTGTAGTTCCTTTTTCTGCTACTTGCCATTGCGACATGTATGTCTTAAGTGATTTCTCTGTATTTCCCTTTTCTGCCACTTGCCATTGCGACATGCATCGGTGAGTTGCTCTGGTCTCCTGGCACTCTCCTTGTGAGTTCATGGTCGTTCTTTTGCATTCTTCTTTCTGTGTTCACACCATCCCGTTTGCTTCCCCAGCTGCCTGATCTGCCACATGGTTGCATGTGCGTGCATTTGCTGCTCTTACTGTCAGTGAGCTCCTTCAGTCTCCTGGCACTCTCTCTGTCAGTTAATGGTTGTTCTCTGAGCACATTGCATTTGCACCATCCCGTTTGCTTCCCCAGCTGCCTGAATTGCCACATGGTTGCATGTGCACTTTGTGCCCGCGCATGTCAGTCAAGTCAGTGAACTGCCCGTGCATGTCAGTCAAGTCAGTGAATAATTTTCTGGTTTCCTGGCACTCTCCGTCTGACTGCCTGCTTCCTCAGTTGCTCTCTGTGTGACTGCCTGCCTTTGCAGCATGCACCTTTTCTGCTCAGCTGCCCGATCTGGCACGTGGCTTCATGTGCTGTCACTGCTGCCCGCTCATGACTGCTGCCTGCTCATTGACTGCTGCTAGTGACTGCTGCCTTGCGACTGCTGCTTGTGACATGACTGCTGCTTGTAACTGCTGCTTGTGAGAATCAGGGCTATATTGGATTCAATTAACCTACAGTATTCAGTAACAATCCTGAAGAATCAGGGTAAGACAAGCTGGCAGCACTGAACAATCAGGGGCGAAGTTCTGAATACAATCTAGGTCCTGCCAGCCAAGGTTCTGCCAAAACTCTATAACTTCCTCTTCCGGTAATATCATTGCAGGAATCATTTGCACAGATGATATTACAGGCCTATGTACAGTGCAGAGACAGATTACAGGTTGATATATACACTGCAGAGATGGTTCAGTCAGTACCGTGCTCCCTTTCACTCATCCTTCCTCCTCATCCACTTGCAATCCCGGCTGCAATGCCACCACATCTGCTGCTTCCTGGGAGCATTGAGGGGGGTGGTAGTGGTGGTGGTGGTGAGGGAGAAACAGAAGAAGTGAAGGATGCAGGAGTTGGTTGGTGGTGGTGAGTACTCCCCTTTACTCCCCTTTACTCCCCTTTACTCCCCTTTACTCCCCTTTACTCATCCTCCTCATCCTCTTGCAATCCCGGCTGCAATGCCACTATCACCGCTGCCTCCTAAAAACAATGAGGGGGATAGCAGTGGTGGTGATAGCAAAACAGAGTCGGTGGGGTTGGTGAGTGCTGGCCTTCACTCCTCCTCCACTTGCAATCCCGGCTGCAATGCCACTATCTCCTCTGCTTCCTGGGAGCAATAAGGGGGATGGTAGAGGTGGTGGTGAGAGAGAGAGAGAGAGAGAGAGAGAGAGAGAGAGAGAGAGAGAGAGAGAGAGAGAGAGAGAGAGAGAGAGAGAGAGAGAGAGAGAGAGAGAGAGAGAGAGAGAGAGAGATGGTGAGGGTGGTGCAAAAATTGGCGGTGAGTAATTGCCTTCGCTCCTGCAATTCCGGCTGCAATGCCACTATCTCCTCTGCTTCCTGGGAGCAATGAGGGGGATGGTAGCAGTGGATTGACAGGGAGAAAGCAATGAGATGGGATGTGCTGGTCGACCTGTTAAGGGAAGAACCCACGGAGGAACATCGGGGCACAACGGGAGTCAGCTTTTGAGACGCTTTAAAAGACAAGCGGAGGAAGAGAGCATGCTAACAAAAAAAATACAACTAAGAAACCCCAACTTACCTTGACCCGTTAAGAGCTAAGTCAGAACCCACCACTGACCTCAAATGCATTTGGAAATGCCTTTCTCAATTTCGCCTTCATTTCCCTGCATGCACGTACGGTACAGTACAGCAGGGCAGTGCAGAGAAAGGCACAGCAAGCACGTTCGACATATTTAGGTAATGCTCATGCCACAAACCGTCCAATTCAAGCTCATGTGGTCAATTTTCCGCGAAGTGAAAAACTCTCAGTCACATTCAGGTAGCACTGCTTTATTTTAGGCAGTTTAGGATCAAACCCACGTGATCCTCTGCTTACAACCTCCAGCTACCTTCCCTTCCTCCCTCCCACCACACCTGATGCGTCAAACCGAGCGCATGAAAAAGGCGTGCAATAAGAGCAGGGCGGTGGTGTGGGCGCGCATGGCAGGGGCTCTGAAAGCCAGAACCCACTCCCGCAAACCCCAACCCCTTTTTCGCAAACCCCAACCCCTTTTTTGGAACGAGCGCATGAGAAATAGGCGTGCAATGAGAGCAGGGTGGCGGTGTGCACACGCCAGCGACTCACCTTCCCTTCCCCCACCCTCCCCCTTAACTTTTCTCCCAGCCCACACCAACCCCACCCCGCGAACCTGACTTTCCAGAACGAGCGCTGTAGGGCTTGCAAGGTGGCGGTGTGGGCACGCATGGCAGGGGCTTCAGACGCGAGAGCCTTGAGGCAAAACCCCCCTCAACCCCCACCCTTGATCACCCTCCTCGTCGCAAACCTGATTTTGCGGAACGAGCGCATGAGGTCACTCTGTAAGGCGTTTAAGGCAGCAGTGTGGGCGCGCATGGCAGGGGCTTCAGACGCCACCGCCTTGAGTGAGAACCCGCCTCCCCGTCCCTCTCCCCACCCCCAACCCTCCCTCTTCACACCTGATTTTTTGGAACGAGCGCATGAGGTCGCTTTGTAGGGCATGCAGGACGGCAGTATGGGCGCGCATGGCAGGGGCTTCAGACGCCAGCGCCTTGAGCGAGAACCTACTTCCACCCCACTCCCCTCCCCCGCACCTGATTTTCCGGAACGAACGCATGAGGTCACTCTGTAAGGCGTGTAAGGCAGCAGTATGGGCGCGCATGGCAGGGGCTTCAGACGCCAACGCTTTGAGCGAGAAGGCGTTGAAATGCGCCAAAATGGCCGCTGTGTCCTGTAACGCGCCTAGGCTGGTGGGTGGAGGGGAGAAGGGGAGAGGGACACGGGGAAATAACAGTCAATGCGCGTGGCAGGGGCTGAGAAGCGAGCGCCTTCAGCGAAAAGGCGTTAAAATGCGCCAAGATACCTGCCGCGTCCTGTAACGCTCCTAGACTGCCATGGGGGGTGCGGGGTGCAGGGTGCGGGGGAAAAAAGGGTGGGGGGAAAAAGGAGCGGGTGGGGGAGAGCTAGCCAGTGGAGAGCACAGACGTTAAAAAGCCTGGAAAGCATTTCATAGCCTTGAACGAAAAGGCGTTGAAAGTAAATGTTCCCGCGGCGCCCTCCCCTGCGCCCTCCACTCATCCCGCTCGTCCCGCACGTACTCACCTCTCCCCTTGCGCCTCCCGCACTGCGCCCATGTCCGCCACGTCCACCAGCGCGCGGATCCGCTCCGCCAAATCCTCCGCCAATCCTTCCCCCAGTCTCTCCCCTGAACCCTCCGCCACTGCGCCTCGTCCGGGAGTAACCCCCGCGGAAGGCGCTTCCCCGTCCGGTAAACTCTGCTCTGCCCCGCCTGCGCTCTCCGCCTCCCTGCCCTCATCTTCCCCCTCCCCCTTGCATCCCTCAGCACCGTTCTGAACCGCCGTGGTATGATGGTCTCGAGACCCATGAGCTACCGTCACGGCCGTGCCGCCACGGCTTGCGCTATCCGCCGCAACCCCTTCGATGCACCCCCCAGCACCGCTCTGGACCGCTTGAGACCCCTGAGCTGCCGTCACAGCCGTGTCGCCTCGGCTTGCGCTATCCGCCGCACCTGCGCTATTTAACAAATCGTCCGCTAACGCCGCCTCAATGCACCTCTCAGCACCGCTCTGAACCGCGGTATCATGGCTTCGAGCACCCAGCTCCTGTACTGCCGCGACGGGTGCGCCGGTCGTGCCGGTCGTGCTACCGCGACTTGCGCTATCCGCCGCACCTCCATCGCCCGACCGCGTTTCACTCGCCACACTATCACTTCTCCGCGTAGCTCCTCCCCCTCTATCGCCCACCCGCGTATCTCCCACCATCAGGAATAATAAATGTGCAACGGTCGGAATCGAAGCGACACGGATTTCACGCGTTGCTCGGATTTCCCCACATCTGGTCTTTTCAAGAACGGCGCGAGATGCTCGGCCGCGTGTGGCGGGAAGCAGGGGCTGATTAGGAGGATGCGAGCCGGAGTTATGCGCACAGGTATAGACAACGATTCTTTACCCTTGTACCGGTATTAAGTTGTGCTCCGATATAGTTTACATACGCATTACGGTGAGTTTAGTAATAGTATTATTGCAGGAAAGGAATCATAGCATGTATGTCCAAGCAGGATGGAAATCGTCTGGTATTCTATCACATTAGTTTCTCATATGACTAACGTACTGATATTCCTATTACAGGTTGTACCATTGCACATCACTATAGTACAAGCAATAAGCACAACCTCTAAAGGTACATGGCCAAGGTTCTCTAGAACTATACAATAGGTACAAACACGGTAGTCACATAAAGCACAAGTACGAAGAAGCAATTTGAGTCCACCTCACTCAATCTCCCCTATGCGCCCATTGCTCACCCACTGTTTCTCGCATGCTCCCCTATAAGTTGGGTTTGTAACAAGGGCCGAAATACACTTCTTCGAAGCTTCCATTCACAGAAGCGTCACCTTTCCAGAGCTCCTCTCCTCACTTTTTGGGCTGAACATCAAAACTTCAAGGTTTTACTTCTTTAGACCTGCATACATGGCGTCGATTTGTGCCTGTGGTGGGCAGAAGAGAGGGCAGAGGCAAGGGGGGCAGAGGCAAGGGGGGCAGAGGCAAGGGGGGCAAAGGCAAGGGGGGCATAGAAAAGAAGGGTAGGGACAAGAAGGGTAGTTGTGAGAATAAGTCAAACTCGACAATACACCGACCACAGAACCGAGCATGCACGTCTGCATGCACACCAAAGTGTTGCCACCCGCCTTAACACTGAACCCACCTGGTAGTACTTGAGCAGCTGAGGGCGCTTCTTCTTGAACGTGGGCGTCAGCAGGTACAAGAAACACTGGTGTAGGAATCATCACTGCAGGCAACCTACCTGGTAGTACTTGAGCAGCTGCGGGCGCTTCTTGTTGAATGTGGGCGTGAGCAGATCCCTCTCCATGTCGAAGGACTTACTGACACTTCTCAGAGATGTCACACAGCTTGACTACACACCAGCCACGGCACTAAAGCCGCCATGCACGTCAATACCTGACCACTGAACCCACCTGGTAGTACTTGAGCAGCTGCGGGCGCTTCTTCTAGAAAGTGAGCGTGGGGAGATGCAAGGAGCACCGGTGCCTAGTGCACTGGTGCAGGGATCATCACAACAAGCCACCCACCTGGTAGTACTTGAGCAGCTGCGGGCGCTTCTTCTTGAACGTGGGCGTGAGCAGGTCCCTCTCCATGTCGAAGGGCTGTGACTCCAGATGCACCGCCTTCACCATCTCAAAGCCCTTCAGCTGGTGACAGGGGAGAGCGACCGGGCACAGGGATACACGGGCCACGGAGAAAGGAAGGCGGGGAAGAGCAGCGATGGGGTGAGCAGATCCCTCTCCATGTCGAAGGGCTGTGACTCTAGATGCACCGCCTTCACCATCTCAAAGCCCTTCAGCTGAAGCACATGGGGACACAGGGCACATGGGAACCAAAAGGGCGAAGGGGAATGGCATTATAGTGAGATGACTTTTAAGTTGACTCAAAAGTCACCAAAGCCCTTCAGCTGGTGCACATGGGGGCACAGGGCACAGGGCACAGGGGAACCAAAAGGGCAACGGGGAATGGGGGAGGGAAAGGAAACTATCTATATTGACGCCCCGCTAATCAACAACTCCCATATGCACCGCTTCTTCCATCTCACAAGCCCTCGAGCTCGTGCGCAGAGTGGGTATAGTGTAGTATGGTAGAAAGCACGTGTAGTGTGAAGGGTGATGCGGGGTGAATGGATGAAATAAAAACGAATCAAGGGCAGCCCGGAAATCTTACCTTGCCCTTCTTGCGCGTTTCAGTCAGCTGCCCGAGAATAAACTTCTTCGCCTCTTCGGTGGCGCACAGAGCAACATAATCCCCCTCCACGCCCGCCCCGCCCCCTTGGCCCACTCGGGCGCGAGAAGGGGAGTCAAGTCACAACATACAGGTAATATAAATGCCCGCCTCTCCTCCCCTGTTACCTCAACTGCGTTCTATCTCTCCCCCCCTTCCGTCCCTCTCACCTTGCCCTTCTTTCCCGTTTCGGTCAGCTGCCCAAGAATAAACTTCTTCGCCTCCTCAGTGGCGCAGAGAGCAGCATAGTCCCCCTCCACACCCGCCCCCTTGGCCCACTCGAGAAGAGTCGGCTTGTTTGGCACCACCACCGCCACCAGCACCGCCTCGAAGCTGTTGCCATACACCCACACCTGCAAGTGTTGACATGAGTGGGTAAGAGAGCAGGAGAGGGGTGAGAGTGAAGGAGTGGTAGATGGGCGCACAGTGCAGGCAGCATAGTCCCCCTCCACGCCAGCCCCCTTGGCCCACTCGAGCAGCATTGGCTTGTTTGGCACCACCACCGCCACCAGCACTGCCTCGAAGCTGTTGCCATACACCCACACCTGAAGATTGAGAGAGCAGGACGAGCAGGGGGGGAAAGGGTGGGAGAGGGGGACAGGGAGTGAAGGTGTAAGACAGGGCAGCATAGTCCCCCTCCACACCCGCCCCCTTAGCCCGATCAGAGTTGGCTTGTTTGGCACCACCACCGCCACCAGCACTGCCTCGAAGCTGTTGCCATACACCCACACACCAGCCCACCACTCACCATGTCGATTGCCGAGCAGTTGCCAAACACGTTCTCCACAGCCACATACTCCCCTTGCGCCAACTTGAAAATGTCCTTCTTCCGATCAATGATCTTCATCGCCCCATCCGCCTGCCACTCGCCGATGTCCACCACTCCCCATCCCCACCAACCACTCACCATATCAATAGCCGAGCAGTTCCCGAAGACATTCTCAAGATTCTCCACAGCAACATACTCCCCCTGAGCCAGCTTGAAAATATTCTTCTTCCTGTCAATAATCTTCATCGATCCATCCGCCTGCCACTCGCCGATGTCACCCGTGTGGAACCACCCCTCCCCATCCACCGCCTCCTTGGTCAAATCTTCCCTCTTGTAATACCCCGAGAACAGAATCGGCCCGCGAATGCACACCTCCCCCCGCGGGGGATGCGCCTGCGCCTCCCCTGAGTCTCCCCCCCCTGCGCTCCCTGATTCTCCTTCCTGCTTGGTTGTTGACCCGATTGCGTCGTAGTTCATTTCCGGGATGGATTCGAGGCGGGTTTCCAGCGTGGGCATGGGCGGGCCGACCGTGCCGGCCTGCTCGATGCGATCCGCGTACGAGATGAACCCGCTCGTGTTGGTCTCGGTGAGACCTGGGAGATTGGGGGGGAGGGGGTTTAAGGGCAGTTGCGTGAAATAAGAGGAGGAGGGAAATGGGCTGGTGGGCATGGGCGGGCCGACGGTGCCGGCCTGCTCGATGCGATCCGCGTACGAGATGAACCCGCTCGTGTTGGTCTCGGTGAGACCTGGGGGAAGGAAGGGAGGGAGGGTTGTGATGTGAGGGGCATTGGGGTGAGATGATGGGCATGGGGACTGAGATGAGGGTCTTGACCGGGTGGGCATGGGCGGGCCGACCGTGCCGGCCTGCTCGATGCGATCCGCGTACGAGATGAACCCGCTCATGTTGGTCTCGGTGAGACCTGGGAGATTGGGGGGGAGGGGGTTTAAGGGCAGTTGCGTGAAATAAGAGGAGGGAAATGGGCTGGTGGGCATGGGCGGGCCGACGGTGCCGGCCTGCTCGATGCGATCCGCGTACGAGATGAACCCGCTCGTGTTGGTCTCGGTGAGACCTGGGGGAAGGAAGGGAGGGAGGGTTGTGATGTGAGGGGCATTGGGGTGAGATGATGGGCATGGGGACTGAGATGAGGGTCTTGACCGGGTGGGCATGGGCGGGCCGACTGTGCCGGCCTGCTCGATGCGATCCGCGTACGAGATGAACCCGCTCGTGTTGGTCTCGGTGAGACCTGGGGAAGGAAGGGAGGGAGGGTTGTGATGTGAGGGGCATTGGGGTGAGATGATGGGCATGGGGACTGAGATGAGGGTCTTGACCGGGTGGGCATGGGCGGGCCGACTGTGCCGGCCTGCTCGATGCGATCCGCGTACGAGATGAACCCGCTCGTGTTGGTCTCGGTGAGGCCTGGAGGAGAGGGCGTGGGGGATGTTTGGAAGGGCATTTGGGTGAGATGAATTGACAAGTGTTCAAAGCGTGGGCATGGGCGGGCTGACGGTGCCAGCCTGCTCGATGCGATCCGCGTCTTGGATGAAGCCACTCGTGTTGGTGTGGGAAGAAGCACGAGGCAGCACATGGCAATCATAGGACCTCTATCCATGCGTGGGGCGAGACGGACAAGGAGGAGAAAGGCAGCACTGCACCCCACCAAGTCGTTTGATCCAATCCAAACCACCTTATACGCTTAGGATCACACTCACCATACCCCTGCACCACGAGGCAGCACATGGCGATTATGAGAAACTCCTACCCTTTAGGGACTAGTGGGGCAACACCGCATTGCACTACTCTATAAGCCAGTCATTTGGCAACAACCTCACCGTACCCCTCTCGACCTCAATGTACCGCTATTAAACTTACCATACCCCTGCACCACGGGGCAGCAGCACAAGGATCTTGAGATAACTCCTTACACGCGAGGGGCCAGTGAGGCTGCACCGCAATGCACCACTCTAAAAGCCAGTCAATTAGCAGCAACCTCACTATACCCCTCTCAACCTCACTGTTACCGCTCTCAAACTCACCATACCCCTGCACCACGGGGCAGCACATGGCGATCTTGAGAAACTCCTCCACGTGAGGGGCCAGTGGGGCAGCTCCCGAGCAGATAATCCGCACGTTGCCACCCAGCCGCGACTTGACCTGCCATGTGAGAGAACATGGGAATCAGATCGGGGAGAGAGAGAGTGGGAGAGAAATGTAGAGTGCGGATTAGGGAGAGCGACGGAGGGAGGGACGGGTAAAAGCATGTTGAGTCGACTCAACAACCTCCACGTGAGGGGCTAGAGGGGCGGCGCCAGAGCAGATAATCGCACGTTGCCACCCAGCCGTGCATTGATCTGAAGGAAGGGGGTAGAGATGTGGGAGGGAGACACAGACAGACAAGGGCAGACGCAAGTATAGTCAATTCTGTAGTCCCCAGATGAGAGAGAGACGGAGCAGATAATCCGCATGTTGCCGGCCAGCCGCGACTTGATCTGAAGGAAGGGGGTAGTGATTTGGGAGGGAGACACAGACAGACAAGGGCAGAAGCAAGTATAGTCAATTCTGTAATCCCCAGATGAGAGAGAGACGGAGCAGATAATCCGCATGTTGCCGGCCAGCCGCGACTTGATCTGAAGGAAGGGGGTAGTGATTTGGGAGGGAGACACAGACAGACAAGGGCAGAAGCAAGTATAGTCAATTCTGTAATCCCCAGATGAGAGAGAGACGGAGCAGATAATCCACACGTTACCGCCCAGCCGCGCCTTGATCTATCGAGAGGGGAGAGGTGTGGGGTTGAGATATGGGGGCAAAATAGGGAGAGGTACAAGGTAGAAATCAAGTCAAAGTGGCTAAAAAACTCCACATGAGTGAGGGGCCAGTGAGATGGCATGTGAGCAGATAATCCGCATGTTGCCACCCAGCCGCGACTTGATCTGAAGGAAGGGGGTAGAGATGTGGGAGGGGGACACAGACAGGCACTGGCAAGTTTAGTCACCCACGTGAGAGAAAGCTGAAGCAGAGAATCCGCACATTGCCACCCAGCCGCGAGTAGTGAGATGCATTTTGAGATGCATTTTGAGATGCATTTTGAGGCGCCTCAAAAAGCAGAGAATCCGCACGTTGCCACCCAGCCGCGAGTTGACCTGCGGAGGTGACGAGGTGTGGGGGGAGAGACGAACAGGGCGAATCGTACCATGGAGGAGGGGAAACAGAGAGTTCTGTTTCCTCCTGGGGAAGAGAGAACAACAGGAGGAGAAACGGCAGGGTTCAGTTGAGTGAGCCGACTCAGACATTTGTCAGCTCCTTTCAAAGCTCACCTTGTTGAACGGGGTGACTTTTGAGTCGATTCAAAGGTCACTTCACTTCAAGCTCAACTTTTTTTTAACGGAAAAGGCTAGACTGTTTTTTAGAAATCTAAAAAACAGTCTACAGCCGTTCTCCCACATGCACCTTCGAGCCCACCCACCCACCCACCCACTCACCTTGTTGAACACAAGCAAGTCAAAGATGGGCGTGACATCAGGGATCTTCACCCCTGCTGCCAGCCGCACGTAATCATTGTTCAAGGCACCTCTACAAACGCACATGCACCTCCCTTCTCCCACTCACACCCACTCACCTTGTTGAACACGAGCAAATCAAAGATGGTTGTGGCGTCTCGGATCTTCACCCCTGCTGCCAGCTGTGTGTGTGTGTTCAAGGCTTCCAAAACAAAGAACATGCACACCTCACCTCTCTTACCCACCTTGTTGAAGACGAGGAAGTCGAATATGGGCGTGGCGTCTCGCATCTTCACCGCTGCTGCCAGCGCGCTTGCTTGCTTGCAACCTTGTCATGGGCTCAGAACCCTCCTCCCACCCACCCATCCACAGCCAGCTCACCTTGTTGAAAACCAGGAAGTCAAAGATGGGCGTGGTGTCGCGGATCGTCACCCCTGCTGCCAGCCACACGTGTTCATTGTTCAAGGCACCTCTACAAACGCACATGCACCTCCCTTCTCCCACCCACACCCACTCACCTTGTTGAACACAAGCAAGTCGAATATGGGCGTGGCGTCTCGAACCTTCACCCCTGCTGCCGCTGCCACCTGTGCGTGTTCAAGGCACCTCTCAGAGTACACATGCACCCTCATGCCGGCCCACCCACTCACTTTGCTGAAAACGAGGAAGTCAAAGAGCGGCGTGGCGAATCGGATCTTCACCCCTGCTGCCAGCCTTGCTTGCTTACTTGCAACCTTTCCAAGGGACTCAACAAGATTCCCCCCTCAACTCACCTTGCTGAAAACGAGGAAGTCAAAGATGGGCGTGACATCTCGGATCTTCACCCCTGCTGCCAGCCTTGCTTGCTTACTTGCAACCTTTCCAAGGGACTCAACAAGATTCCCCCCTCAACTCACCTTGCTGAAAACGAGGAAGTCAAAGATGGGCGTGACATCTCGCATCTTCACCCCTGCTGCCAGCCGCGCTTGCTTGCTTGCAACCTTTTCATGGGCTCAGAACCCTCCTCCCACCCACCCATCCGCAGCTGTCCCTCCCACCCACCATCCGCAGTTATCCCTCCCACCCACTCACAGCCACTCACCTTGTTGAAGACAAGGAAGTCAAAGATGGGCGTGGCGTCGCGAATTTTCACCCCTGCTGCCAGCCGAGCCTGCTTGCTGCTGTAGGCATAGTCAAACAGCATCTTGGTGAGGCCGCCCGTAGACTCAATCTTTGAGATGACAGCTGGGAGAGGGTGCAGAGGGGATGGAGGGGTAGTATGAGCCAGCCGTGCTTGCTTGCTGCTGTAGGCATAGTCAAACAGCATCTTGGTGAGCCCGCCTGTTTACTCAATCTTAGAAACCACGGCTAGGAGAGGGTGCAGAGGGGATGGAGGGGTAGCATCAGCCAGCCGTGCTTGCTTGCTGCTGTAGGCATAGTCGAACAGCATCTTGGTGAGCCCGCCTGTTGACTCGATCTTGGAGATGACAGCTGGGAGGGGAGGAGCACAGAGGGGATGGAGTGGTTGAATTAGCCAGCCTCGATTGCTTGCTGCTGTTGGCATAGTCAAAGAGGAGGGGATGGAGGGGTCAAGAGCAACTTGGTGAGGAGGACCCCTGTTGACTCGATCTTTGATATCACAGCTGGGATGGGGCCAAGGGGAGAGAGAGGAAAGATGGAGAGTTTAAAGTGCTTGCAGTCTAGATCTCTTGCTGCTGTAGGCATAGTCGAACAGCAACTTGGTGACGCCCCCCGTGCGAGGGGCAGAGGGAAGGCCGAGGAGGGTGCTCGGAGTGAACAAGGTGCGGCGAGAGGGGACAGGGATGGGCCTACACGAATGGATGCTGTCAAGTAAGGGGAGATTTTTTTAAGTCAAATCAGGGGAGGGATGGGGCCGTACCCGAGTGGATGCGGTCAAAGATGCGCGGCACTCCACAGAAGAAGGTTGGCTTGAGGGCCTCCAAGTCGTCTGTGAGCTTCCTCACGTCCTGGTGGTGAATGGAAGAAGGTTACAGAAAAGAAGGGAAAGGAGGGGGGGAGAAGGGTGTGCGAGGGAAGGTTGGCTTGAGGGCCTACAAGTCGTCTGTGAGCTTCCTCACGTCCTGATGGAGGGAGGGGTAAGGAAAGGAAGGGAAGGGAAAGAAGTAGAGGGGCAGCAAAGGAAGGAGACAGAAGGGAGGGTGAGCAAGGCAGGATGGGCTTGAGGGCCTCCAAATCATCTGTGGGCCGCCTCACGTGCTGATGGTGGGAGGGTGGAGACGGGAGTGGGAGGGAACAGAAGGGAAGGGGGAGGGTGAGAGTATAGAACCTACACCCAGCACGTCTGCAACCCTCACCACCGCATCTCACCGCCTCACCACCACATCTCAACGCTCACCACCGCATCATAACCCCCACCGTTGCATCCCAACCCCACCCACTGCGTCTCACTCACCCCTTGCCAGAAGCCAATGGAGCCACCCACGTGGGTCATGAGCTCCTCTGCTACGCGGTCAAAGATGTGCGCCAGGGGCAGGTAGGAGATGTAAATGTCTGTCGTTGTGAGCTGAAGTGGGAGAGGGGAAAGGGGAAAAGGGGTGGTGAGGGAGGAATAGGCAGGGCAGGGAACAGTTGGGAGCGAAGGGTCATGAGCTCCTCTGCTACGCGGTCAAAGATGTGCGCGAGAGGCAGGTGGGAAACGTGGATGCCTGTCGGGGGAATTGCACAGGCAACAGCGGGGTAATTACCCAAAACACTTGCACAAATTCCTTCCATCTCCCTTCCTTTTCCTCCACCCCTATTTCTCCTCCTCCCACCCACTCACCACGTAGTCATTAACCTCGCAGAACCGCTTGGTGCCCGCTACTGCAGTGGCGAGGGCATGATTCGTTATAAGCACTCCCTTGGGCTCGCCCGTGGTTCCTGTGGATTGGGTGAGCGAGAGGGAGTACAACGAGTGTGCAAGTTATAAGCACGCCCTTGGGCTCTCCCGGGGTGCCTGCCGGTTGAGAGCGACAACAAGGGAGGAGAGGAGGTTTAAAACGGTTGGATGGGGAGAAACGACAGCCATTTGAGCGTGCGTGGGGTGGTAGGGTGGCGTAAAAAATCAGAGGGAAGGCTGGATAGATGATGTGAGTGAGTAACAAGACTCTTCACCTAAGCACCTGGACCAACCTGAGTAACCATCTGAACCCACCTGAGTAACCACATGAACCCACCTGGTGCACTTTAACCCACTTAACAAGCACTGAACCCACCTGAGGAAGCACCTGGACCCACCTGAGGTGTACATGATGGTGCAGATGTCTTCTGGCTTGGATGGGCATGGTTCCACTGGCTTCGCCTCGCCCTGAGAGATGGGTGAAGAAGAGGAGAGGGTGAGGGGAGGGGGGATGGTGAAGGGACCGAGAAAGGAGGAATGGGATGATGGAAGGAGAGGAGGACGGGTGGGGAGGGGAGTGGGATGAGTAGTGGTCCAGCATACCATCATAGACTGGTGTTGACCAGCGTTGACCAGCACTGACTGGCATTGACCGGTATTGACCGGCATTGACTGACATCGTTGCTTCTTCTGGAAGCACCTCAGCAGTTGACTGCCACTGACTTGCATTGACTGACGTTGACCTGCATTGACTCACCTCTTTCAGAAAGTCGTCCCAGGTGACTCCCCTGATGCCCATGTCTGTCAGCGCCTTGGCTGAATCCGCATCCAGATCCCCCATGCTCACCACCGCTGGTGGGGGGAGAGGGGGACAGGGGGAGGGGAGAGAACAAGGAATGAGATGAGAGACGTGGTTGAGAGTCCCAGTTGACTCCTCTGATGCCCACGTCTGTCAGCGCCTTAGCTAAATCCGCATCCGGCTGCCCCATGCTCACCACCGCTGGTGGGGGGGAGATGGGGGAGAGAAGAGCATAGCAGAGGAGGGAGTAGGAAGGGCAGCGGGTGAGTTGAGACTGCCGGGTCACTCCGCCTCTGATGCCCATGCCTGTCAGTGCCTTGGCTGAATCCGCATCGAGGTCCCCCATGCTCACCACCGCCGGTGGGGGGAGAGGGGGACAGGGAAGGGCGAGATGTTGTTTTAAGACAGCCAAGTGACGCTTCTGATGCCCATGTCTGTCAGCGCCTTGGCTGAATCCGCATCCAGTAATCCCCAAGCTCACCACCGCTGGTGGGGGGGAGATGTGGGAGGGAGGAGGGGAAAGAGGATCAAAGGTAGAACGAAGGAGGGAGAGAAAAGAGGTGGAAAAGAGGAAAGGGAAAAGGAAAGGGGGGAGGGAGTGGGGTTGGCTGAGAGATGGGAGGGAGAGAAAAAGAAACTCTGCAGGAGGGCTGACAGGACTCCCATGCCAACAATCTCGTGGAGGAAGGTGGAATGGGAGAGAGGGTGCGAGGGGACAGAAACTGCCAAGTGTGCGATAGGTGGGTGTGTGCGAAGCAGGTAGAGAGCTTCGTGTATGAGAAATGCACTTTTCTTGGGGGAAAAAGCAATAGCAGAAGCAAGAAGGCAAGAAAAAGTATACCAGACAAACGAGAGAACAGTAAAAAACGAACAGCCCCCACCCTACAGCACCCAGGCCCCCCCCACCCGCCCCCCGCCCCCCACCCCCGGCCCCCCGCCTTCCGCCCCCCGCCCCCTGCCCCCTGCCCCCTGGCCCCCAATCCCCAGCCCCCAACCCCCAACCTCGAGCCCTATGCAGCAGGGGGCTTACTCTTGACGTTTGCAGTGCAGCTAGGCAGGCTCTTGAGCAACTGTGGATACACGAGGGGGGAACACGAGGGGAGTGCATGGGAGGGTGATGATGGAGAACAAGGGCGTGCAGTGCAGTGCAGGATGAGAACAAGGTGTGTGCAGCTAGGCAGGCTCTTGAGCAACTGCGGATAGCAGAGGGGGGAACACGAGGGGAGTGCATGTGAGGGGAGTGCATGGGATGCGATGGAGAGGAAAGAGAAAGGGGAGTGGGATGAGAGCAAGGGGTGTGCAGCTAGGCAGGCTCTTGAGCAGCTGCGGATAGCAGAGGGGCGAGGGAGGGCAAGGGGAATGCATGCAAGAGGAGAGCATGGGATGGGATGGAGAGGGAAGAGAAAGGGGTGTGAAGGATGAGAACAAGGTGTGCGCGGCTAGGCAGGCTCTTGAGCAGCTGCGATAGCAGGAGGGGTGAGGGCGGGGAAGGGGAGTGCAGGCGAGGGGAGTGCAGGAAAAGTGGGGGTGAAGAGGACAAGGGACGAGTAAAGCGACTAGGCTGACAGACCGGCAGGCACAAGGAGAGCGAAGGCCACAATAACCAGTGGGAAAGTAGAACCATGTGTTTCAACTTCAGAGTCCCTTCTGTTCGTATTGAGCGACTCACGGCCGGTAGCTTGGCTGCTTGCACGACCCCGAGAGCCACTTCAGCATGGTTGAGGATGAAAGACACAACACATGGCATGTCACGGAGCAGAGAGGAGCACAGGGCAAGGCGAGCAGACCTAGGCAGTCAGTCTACGAGGCCCAAGAGGCGAATGACTCACAGCCGGTAGCTTGGCTGCTTGCACGACCACGAGAGCCACTTCAGCGTGGTTGGGTAGAATGAATGAATGAAGGGCACAACACATGTCATGGAGCAGAGAGGAGCACAGGGCAAGGCGAGCAGACCCAGGCAGGCAGCCTACGAGACCCAAGAGGCCAGCGAGCGACTCACAGCTGGCAGCTTGGCTGCTTGCACGACCACGAGAGCCACTTCGGCATGATTGAGAATGAAGGTGACTGCCTCCGCGCCTGCGATGGGGGAAAGAGAGAGGAGAGTGAGCGAGCAGAGACAGGATGGTGTGATACGCAGCAGGGATCAGAGGGGGGGGAGGAGGCTGCTTGCATCACCACGAGAGCCACTTCCGCATGGTTGAGAATGAAGGTCACTGCCTCCGCGCCTGCGATGGGGGAAAGAGGGAGAGGAGAGGAAAGAACCCAAGGTGTTCAAATGACGAACCACTTCTGCTTGGTTAAAGATGAAAGACGCAGCCTCATAAAAAAGAGTCAACTCAAAAGCATCACTACAAGAGAAGCTCACTGAATGCAACGTATGCATCGTTGCTCCCATACTCGCTAGTGACTCACCCAGTGTATCGTAGAGTGGCACGCACTGCATGGACTGACAATTGCACGCCTGGAGGAACAAAAAGGGATAAGGGTGCAGAGGAAACACACTTGCATTGCAAAGACATGCAGAGGAAACACACTTGCATTGCAAAGACATGCAGGAAGCGCAATGACTGTGTGCCATAGATGCAGTGCAAGGTCGAGCTTCCCCCCCCACAGCGCGCACTTACCAACACCACAGTGCACACACCTCCCAGAGAGAGTACCTCCCACACTACGTAGGTAGGTGACTTTTGAATCGACTCAAAAGTCAAAAGTCAAAAGTCACTTTTGAGTCGATTCAAAAGTCTCCCCCCCCCACAGCGCGCAGTTACCAACATCACAGTGCACACCTCCCAGAGAGAGTACCTCCCACCAGACTGCGTACCTCCATGGCCATAAACCACGCGGGAGAGTTGATGCCGTAGACTTTACAGAGTAATAGAGAGCAACGGGGCAGTCCTATATTGAGTAGAGCACACTCACTCCCCCAACACAGTGCGTACCTCCATGGGCATGAACCACTCAGGCGAGTTGACGCATACCCTCCTGCTCACTCATCCCGCACAATGTGCGCACCTCCCATCCCACTGCGTACCTCCATGGCCATAAACCACTCGGGCGAGTTGATGCCGTAGATGGGACAGAGTGACATTGAGAATGGGGCGGATTTACATCAAGTAGAGCACAGTACGCACCTCCCAGAGAGACCATACCTCCATGGCCATAAACCACTCGGGCGAGTTGATGCCGTGAGTGAAGAGGAGTTACAGAGCCATCGGACCATGCCAGTTAGACTCACTGTGACGCATCCCCCCCACAGTGCACACCTCTCGTACAAGAGCGTACCTCCATGGCCATAAACCACTCGGGCGAGTTGATGCCGTAGATTCCCACCTTGGAATTCTGATGGGGGAGAGGTGGGAAGGAGTTGGGAGAGGTGAAGAGGGGTTGGAGGTGGTGCCTGCCAAGCAGGCGAGTTGATGCCGTAGATGCCCACCTTGGCGTTCTGATGGGGAGAGAGATACAGGTAGGAAGGAGTTGACAGAGGTGGGAAGAAGTTGGAAACGGTGCCAATAGGGCGTGTCGATGCTGTAGATGCCCAACTTGGCAGTCTAATTGGGTACAGCATGATATACTGATCCCCTCCCATTTTCTCTCCCGCCCCTTCAATACCCCCTCCCGTCCCCTACCCTCCCTGCACTCACAGCATCCAGCCCAGCAGCACGGTACGCTGAACCCAGCTTCAGCACCTTGGTATGCACCTGGGAGTACGTGTCCCTCCCTTCCTCCCGGCCTCCCCTTTTCCCTCCCGCCCTTTACCCATACCCCCTTGCCCTCCCTGCACCCACCGCATCCAGCCCAGCAGCACGATACGCTGATCCCAGCTTCAGCACCTTGGCATGCACCTGGGAGTACGTGTCCCACACGAAGGGACCGGCCTGGGGGGGAGAGGAAGAGGTGGAGGGAAGGGGGATTGGGAAGGGGTGAGGCTTGGGATAAGTGCAAAACGAGACCCAGCTTCAGCACCTTGGCATGCACCTGGGAGTACGTGTCCCACACGAAGGGACCGGCCTGGGGGGGAGAGGAAGAGGTGGAGGGAAGGGGGATTGGGAAGGGGTGAGGCTTGGGATAAGTGCAAAACGAGACCCAGCTTCAGCACCTTGGCATGCACCTGGGAATACGTGTCCCACACGAAGGGACCGGCCTGGGGGAGGACAGGAAGAGGTGGGGGGAAGGGGGATTGGGAAGGGGTGAGGCTTGGGATAAGTGCAAAACGAGACCCAGCTTCAGCACCTTGGCATGCACCTGGGAGTACGTGTCCCACACGAAGGGACCGGCCTGGGGGAGGACAGGAAGAGGTGGGGGGAAGGGGGATTGGGAAGGGGTGAGGCTTGGGATAAGTGCAAAACGAGACCCAGCTTCAGCACCTTGGCATGCACCTGGGAGTACGTGTCCCACACGAAGGGACCGGCCTGGGGGAGGACAGGAAGAGGTGGGGGGAAGGGGGATTGGGAAGGGGTGAGGCTTGGGATAAGTGCAAAACGAGACCCAGCTTCAGCACCTTGGCATGCACCTGGGAATACGTGTCCCACACGAAGGGACCGGCCTGGGGGAGGACAGGAAGAGGTGGGGGGAAGGGGGATTGGGAAGGGGTGAGGCTTGGGATAAGTGCAAAACGAGACCCAGCTTCAGCACCTTGGCATGCACCTGGGAGTACGTGTCCCACACGAAGGGACCCGCCTGGGGGAGGTGAGGGGGTCAGAAGAAGGGAGGGAGGGGGAAAAGAGGAGAGAGGGGGGAGGCGGTGAGGGACTAAAGGCAACAAGACTGGGTCCCTGCCTCAGCACCTTGGCATGCACCTGGGAATACGTGTCCCACACGAAGGGACCCGCCTGGGGGAGGAAGAAGAGAAGTAGGCAGGAGGATGTAAGCAAGGGAACGTGAGGATTGGTGAGGATTGGTGAGGATTGGTGAGGATAAGTGGGTGGGGACAGGTGAGGCAAGGTGGTAGCGAGTGGCGGAGGGGTAAGGAGGCAACGGAAACAGGAGCGCAGGACGGATGAGTTGCGGGAAACGAGACGAGAAAACAACAGTTGGGAAGGGGTGGGAGCGGGAAAGCATGGCATGGCAGTCCGTGATACTACGGTTCGCTACTAGGATAATACCTGAACCTCGAATAATACCTTGCTATCTACGATTGAGCGCTTCCCCAGGAACTGATTGTCTCCAGACACTACCATTCGTTACAAGACAATCCGTTACAAGGTTCTGAGCTTCAGGTAATACCTTGCCATCTACAATCGAGCGCTTCCCCAGGAACTTATTGTCGCCGAATTTCTCCACTGAGGCCCTGACAGCCACGTAACGATAAAATATGGAAGCACGTACACAGATCCTCGATTTAGTCACAACTATATGCTCTATCAATTTCCTGACCCGCATTTCAAACAAGATGTGGAGTGAAATGAGCAGAAAGGGGTTCCAGGATGGTAGATGACAAGACAGAGCGTTTCAAGAATCGAAGTACACACACAGTGATTGAAAACAAAAGCGCGAACTATGGATACATGGTGTGCTAAGGAGCGCAACGGAACAGGACGCACTTGAAGAGCGTCCAAATGGTGTCGAACCCTGGACCTAGGTTGACGTACGCAATAGGATAGGAACATTGAAATGCACGACGAGGGATATAAAGACGCGTGGATAAACGAGTGCCAGGGAGCGGGACGTACTTAAAGAGGGCCCACATGGTGTCGATTCCTGGGCCTAGGTTGACGTAACCATCCTTGGCGTAGATGCTGCGATACGTGGGACCTGCGGGAGTGGGTGAAGGCGAAGATTTTAACTGAATCGACTCTTATACATTCTTGGATGCTGCTGTACAAGGACCGCGGATGTGGATGGAACGTAGGAAACAAACGTATAAGAACCGAAGAACGCGCAGCGATTCCGGAAACGGCTCATCACGTCGGGTACACCAAACACGACTGTACATTCAAGAACGGCGTGAGGCAGTGCACGTATTTTGGAGAGGGTAAAAAAAAAAAAAAACGAAAGAAAAAAAGCATTAGAGAAAAGGCAAATGATAAGATCCGTGGCTTGGCTCGAAAACGGCACGAAAGACGAAATCCACTCGCCTTTGAAGGGCTTCGATCGCTAGCGGGAACGGCGTCCCCAACCTCGTGGAGCCACTAACCATAGAGCGTGTTCAGGTTCAACGCATCTGAATTTTTCCAAATTGACGCGAAGGACAAAATTGACTTGCCTTTTGACGGACTTCCTTCAGTGGCGGGAACGGCGTCCGCAACCTTGTGCAGCCATTTCCCAGGACCAACATCCAGACTCTCGGCCATTCTCGTCCAGCTAACACGACCAGGTTGGGTGGAAAGAAAAGAGATCTACGTGCTAAAATGCCAGTCCGTACTGACGCGAATGCAGCTGAAAGACTGGAAGAAATGCAATGCTCGCAAGTTGAACGGACATTATGCAAAGGTTAGCTCAATTTGTTTTCTCAGGATGCAAGAATGCAGAATCGGTATGCGACAGAAATGTCCTCGGTGCGAAGGATTCCAAAGCGCTTCTACTTGGTGTGATGCTGTGGACAGTCCACGCCATGGTGCAGAAATGGGGCTTGAAGACAGGAATCCCTGCGCCTTCTACTTCGGTTCGAGGCATTCTGCTTCGGTGGTGCCAGAAATGTCCAACATTCTGTCGAGGAGTTGCTGACATCCTCCTGAGCTGGCTCCAGGTTCCAGGGGGGCTGCTGAAACTTTGGAGGTATCCTTGGGGATGCCGACCAGCTTGCATGGACAGCACGAAACGCCACATCAGCGTCACCACCCCAACACGAAATCATACATATGACGATTATAGTAGCAGTTAAACAAATTTGGTTTTCGCAACTGTATACTGTAGCGGAGCGTCCAAAACGCATGAGGGAGGGTATCCCGCCCTGCGGTTGGTTCGGGCTCAATCCGAACCCAAACAATATCTCAGGTCACGTGAATCATGTTTTCGCGAGACTCGTCAAAGTGGTTCAGCACTTCGCAACCCCCTTCATGTGAGGAGGTTGACGAAATTCCACGTCGTCTAACTCGTCGCCAACAAATCACCAACAAAGCTGCAGTTCATGCGGAGCTGGCGACAACCAACCAACACAGCACGCGAACCAGTCGCCAAAACATCCCATGCCGTGCAAGCCCCTTCCCGCGGCTAGTCGAAGGGGGAGGCGGGATTTACAGGCAGCACTCCCTGCGACCCGCGGGACGCCATGCGGCGCCGCCACAGCAGGTAGCGCCACCCCCATAGCTACAACGTTGCCTCGCTTGGGCAGGGGCAGAGCCCCAATCGAACGCGCAAATACTGATCCTCCTCGCTTCGCGAACATGGAAGAGCCCCTAGATTCCTGCCCGGATTGCCCCTTTCAACCAATCCCATTCCAACCAAGCCAGTTCAGCCCGCCCCATTTCCCCATTTCCCCATCTCCCCGTCTCCCCTTCTACGACCCAGATTCCAGATGCTTCGGTGGTACAGTATATCGCTCCCAGGTTTGCGTTGCGTTGCGCGTTGCCTTCACCGCTCGCAAGAAACCCAATGCTCGCTCCCATATTTCTGCATCAAACTTTCTTTTTGCTGGTTTCTGCAACAAACCTATCTTGTCCCTTCTTCGCTCATCTCTTGAATTCGCATCTACTTGCATTTTGCTCTCAGCAAGAATTTAGCTGAAGCTCATCACACAACAGTCCTATCGCGTTTACCTTTTCTTTTCGAATCATTGTGGCTTAAATCGCCGTTTGATTTTTAGCACCACAGCCCATTCGCTGGCGCAGCAGCTACTTGCCATCGTATCAGTACGCTCACCCAGATCTTGTCGCTTTTTCTAGTTGCCTTCTCGCCGCCTAGTCCTTCCCCTCGTTTCTCTCCACCAGTTAACGTAGTGTCCTATCTCGTCCCTCCGCTAATCAGCATAGCGCCCTACTTGGCCTGCTCCGCCATGTCTGCCGGCGGCGGCGGCGACGGCGGAGGGGTGGAGGTTCTTTCAAGCCCCCATTTCACCAACCACTTGCGCCTTCCCCGCGTGCGCTGCCCGCGCGGAGGGCTCTCCCGCGGAACCGTCGGCAGCAGCCCGCGGATGGGGCGCAGCCGCTCCTCTCCGCGGCTGGCCTCCCCGCGCACTCCGCGGCGCCGCACGGGGCGCCTCTCCGCGGGCGCCGCTATGGCGTTTTTCAACACGTGTCGCTCTCCTACTAGCCCGACTTTTGCCACGTTCTTTCAGCTACAGCAGCAGCTACAGCAGGAAATACAGCAGGAATTTCAGCAACAGCAGCAGCAGCAACAACAACAACATCAGCAGCAAAACGGTCCGCTACACGCCATCTGGCGCCCTTTGTCTCCTCCCATCATAGATAAATCTCCCGGCAGCAGCTGCGGCGGCGGCGGGGGGGGCGGGGGAGGGGGGAGCAGTGGCGCTTCGAGAAGCGGTCCGGAGGCGCAGTATAGCGCGATGGTGAATGAGGAGCTGCTGCTGTTCTTCTATCGAATGGACTTAAACGCGCGCTTGGAGGTAGGCCTGACCGCGTGGCTGGAGGTAGGGCGTCGTACGGGAGCAGGTATAACGCAGACAGGGCGCAGATAGGGCGCAGGTAGGGATAATCCAGCGGGGATCGACCAGGAGACTTTCCCATTTCCAATCCCCCCCTTTCCTCCGCCTTCCCCAACCCACTCCACCCCCTACCCCTGCCCCCCCCCCCCCCCCCCCTTCCCCTTTCTTTCCCCCTTCGCCTTCCGCCAATCTCGCCTTTCCCCCTATCCGCGCAGCGAGCGCTCCAAGCGGACCAGTTCGAAGCAGCGCAGGAGCTAATGGAGAAAATCGCGGAGATCGACAGAGAGACGGCGCGGCAACGAGACGCCAAAGCCGCCATCTCCTTCGCCTCCGCTGCGCCTCCCTCCCCCATCCCCTGCGCCAACCACTCCGCCGCCCCCTCCGCCGCCCCCTCCGCCGCCCCCTCCGCCGACCCGTCCGCCTCCCATCCCGCCGCCCCTTTCGCCGTGAGGAGGAGCAGCAGCAGCAGCAGCAGCGGCGGCAGCAGCAGCAGTTTAAGCTGCATGCCAGCATTGGTGGAGGATGGTCCTCTCTCCATGCAAACCCTAAAGTGCGTTGACTTTGTTGACTCTGCTTAGCTTGACCTGCGTTGACCTTTGTGGAGGATGGGCCTCTCTCCATGCAGACCCTGAAGTGCGTTGACTTGGCTTGACTTATCATTATTTGAGTTGATCTTGTCAGCCTGTCTGGATTTTACAGTGACTGGCACAACTCCTCTGACTTGATTGGCTGGATTGAATTGCGTTGACCTTCGTTGACGCATCGACCCGCCCGCCTGCACCTTCTCTCTTTCCCCCTTCCCCCTTCCCCCTTCCCCCTTCCCCCTTCCCCCTTCCCCCTTCCCCCTTCCCCCTTCCCCCTTCCCCCTTCCCCCTTCCCCCGCCCACCCGCCCCGGCGTCCGCTTTGTTTAGATTCTGATTCTGCCCCGTTGCCCCAATGCGTTTTTTGCCCTGCTGCCCGCTGTGCAGAGAGGAGCTGCAGCGGGCAGCAGACGGAGGAAAAACAGGGGAAGAGGAAGGAGGGGTAATGAGGTGCCGCTTTCAGTTGGGGCAGCGAGTGCAGCACTGTAAACACGGTGAGAGGCAGGCAGCAGGATGGGAGTATAGAGAAGGAGGGGGGGAGAGGAGGAGGACGGGGAAGGGGTAGGAGCGTGGGTAAGGGCATTGGGATGGATGGGTGTTGCGAAGGGGGGCCGGTGAGGTGTTGCTTTCAGTTGGGGGGGCAAGGAGAAGAGAAGGGGGGAATGAAAAAGGGGGATGGTGTTGAGGTTGAGCAAAACGGTGAGGAGCCTGATACCATTTTTCCGCAGCTTTTTTACCTCTTACAATTATCTTTTTAGCTTGGCAAACAGGACCTGTTCCCTTTCACTCCCTGTTGCCGTTGTCTAACCCCTCTTTTCTTCCTCCCCCTCCCCACTGTGCTCCCCGCCCTCCCCGCCTACAATGCAGTGGTGGTGGGGGTGGATCCCGTGTGCTGCGAGTGGTTCGTTCAATCCCCAAACCTAATTTTACCCTCTTTCCTCCCCTTCCCCCTCCCAGCTTACAATGCAGTGGTGGTGGGCGTGGATCCCGTGTGCTGTGAGTCAGCAGAGTGGATGGCAGCTGCTGACGTGGCAAGCCTTTCCAGAGGACCGTGTCAGCCGTTTTACCAGGTACTCCTCTCGTGAGGAGAGGGGGAGGGAATTTATCGGTATGCACCACATGGGGAGAGGGAGGGGGAGGGGGAGGGGGAGGGGGAGGGGGAAGCAAGGAAAGGAGAGGAGGGATAATGTTTACTGGGGCAACTTCTGAGTGGGCTAGAATGTCAGCCATTCTACCAGGTGTGAACCTCTTGCGAGGGCAGGGAATGGGAGGAGGGGAGCAATTGTTACTGCATTGCACCGCAATTCCGAATGTGCAATTTGTTGTTGCGTTGCGATTTCTTGCTGTTACAGATCTCTTTGCGTTTGCCCATCCCCATCCCATTGCACCAACGTGTAACGAGGTTCTTTTTGAGACGTCTCAAAAACAACCTCGTTACACGTGGCTTTTCTTGCTGTTACAGATCTCTTTGCGTTTGCCCATCCCATCCCATCCCATTGCACAAAGCAGGTACTCTTGGACTCTTCTGCAGGAGGAAGCTTCCCGGTAGCCTACGGTGAGTGATATTGCCTCGGGGTTTTCACATCAAATGCGCAGTCAGGAGCGGCAATCCTACCATAGGCCACAACTTATCTCTTTCCATTCTTCGAACACCATTCTCTTTCCATTTGTTCAAGCATGTGCTAATGTGACAAGTATCCACTTCCTCAATCATCGCTTCCCTCTGTCTTGTTCCCTTTTGCTTGTTGCTTTCATTTTCTTTCATTACTCACTGCTTAGTGTTATTCATTGCCCTTTTTCTTCTTATGGCAGTGGCTGAAGACCTACTAACCCTTCCTAGCGAACCGACAACGGTACGTATCACTGGTGCTTGCACCAAGAATCTGACAAGTTTCGCGGCCTCCGAATCTCACATTCATCCATCCTTTCACATGCCTCTTCCACTCTTCAAAATAGCTCCAATCCACGGTCTCTGTTTTTTATATTCATTTTTTTTTCTCGCCTATGTCCTTTTTTTTTTTCCTATCGCTTCCCTATTTCCCGCCTCAGACAAGGTTCTCCCACCCATACCTCTACCTTCTTTTCCACGGCATGGATCCGCAAGGCAACTTCATTCCATGCCGCCAGCTCCGGCAAAAGTACGGCACATTCGGCGACAGGCTCGGGGAAAGTTTCTCAGAACATGCGCTGAACGGTAGTGCCTCCTTGGGAATGTCATTTGTGGAGGGTAATCTTCCCGAATGCGACGAGGAGGGCGGAGGGTGAGGAAAACATGTTCCACAACTCAAGTTGAACAGGAGCGAAGGCGTGGGGGGAGGGGTCAACAGTGTAAGTGGGGTAAATACATAGCATTGCCAACTTCGGGCTTCCGAGTTGCTTTGAACGGGTGGTGTGAATACATAGCATTGCCAACAAGAGGATGGAGCGTGATGGTGGTCATGTTGCGGCTGCTGCTGCTGCCGCTGCCGCTGTCACTGCTGCTGCCGCTCCCGCTATCGCTGCTGCTGCCGCTGCTGCTTCCACTGTCACTGCTACTTCCGCTACCGCTGTCACTGCGGCTGCCTTAATAAATGGCAGATGGTAAAACTGAAGGGTGTGCAAGGGGTCTTTTGCTACGACAACTTACATTGTAGCGCGGTGACACATATCGGACGCAGCTATTCAACATTGCGTGGTGGAAAGATGGAGGTGGAATGCTGATGTTGTGGTGGGAAATCTTGTGTAGTGTTATATTGATTCCATGCTTTTGTTTGTACGGTACCGTATGTACTCTATGCTGTGCTTTTCCTTGTTTGTACTGGCCGGCCCAACGCCCGAAATAGTGCTGTCCATTCATCCTTGATTTAATTTTCTAGCCACCTACGGTATGTGTGTATCCGGTCTGGGCACACAACATGACCAGCACAACATTCAGGTAAAAAGCATCTCAACGTCAGTCCAGCTGCAAAAGTCTCGTTCACATTATCAGTCATGGGTAGCACATGAAAATCAGTCACATGGAACATGGCACCTGTACAAATACTTGATTCGGCCACTCACGCCGACCTAATGAATCCCCAAGAAACAAAGGGGAGGCCAATGGGGAGCTCCTGGCTAACTAGCCAGATAGAAAACACTGCACTGGGAGCGAGAAAAAGACGAAGGCTTTGTGAAACACAATGCACGGAATACCTCAAGCCCAAACAAATCGAACCGCCGTTAGATATTTGTCAAGCCGACCACCAGGGGTCGCTATGAGGGTCGGTGGACCCTTTCTCCTGCTGAAACGCCGTTCCTCCAAGGCCGGAAGAGATCGCAACGCGGTCTTCATTTTGCAGCTCAAAGGAGCCTCGCCTTGAAGTTGTCTGGTTAGCGTTAGATACCACCTCTTGTCTCAGGCCTTCGCCTCGCCTTCTGGATGATCCCGAATGCTGGCTGTTTTGAGACGTTGAGACGGTTCCAGGCGTGGCGCCTGGAGTCAACTGATAAGAGCCTGGTCTCTTGTTATCCATATGGACGCACAGCATCATGACATCCTGAGTCTCAGCCATGGCTGTAGTGATACTTCGGCGTCGTTGTAATCGGGACGGAAGCAAGCTCACTCTACAATATACAGAGGGAAATGTACAGGATGACGTGAAACACGGGCTATAAGACCCGGGTATGATCGGACAACACGTTTATGGAAAGTGTTCCGCTCCGCATATGATTAAGTATATGAACAGCTGGAACAACCAAGCAGTGTCCTGTACTCTGGTCCGAGACAACCCTACTCTGCTGCGAAGACACTTTCCTCATACACTGGAACCAACAACTGCGGGGAAAAGGTAAAATGAAGTCGATATTCTCAAGTTATGGAGCTCACAAGCAAGACTGACAGTCAGTAAGCTGTCTCCTTTCAGCCAAAAGATTCACTTGTCCAGCAAGAAAACAGCTGTGTCAGTTTACACACCCCCCTTGCGGAGACTCCGTCTGAACTGAGCTGGTTGGTTTGATTGGGCGAGTTAGGAGCAGAGGAGTGATCTGGAATGGTTCTGAGTGCGGTGAAGCGTACCTGGGCCTCGAGAACGGGAAGATTTCCGCTGGGTTGCGGTGACGGAAAACGCCTCTGGCCAATCAGCAATGAGCTCACTCAAGTCCGCCCCGTGTCATGACTCATGACCCTTAGGATGGCGACTGGATGGACCAGATGTGGGTGCGGTCGCTTGTCGTAATAGCGTCGTTTGGATAGGTTGGGGTGCTCGGGAAAGCGTCGTGTGGCTGAAGGTTGGTGCGGTTGCATGTCGCAAAAGCTTCGTTAGGCTGGGCGAAAGTTGCACTGGGCCTCGAAGATTGCGGTTGTGGTCTGGAGTCGCAGGGGGGGATAACGGGAAGATGCGGAACATGAGCGGTATGGCAGGATGCTCCGAACCGAACCTGCCATGTGGCTCAATCAACGCGACCAGAATGTAGCCGCATGTCAGAAAGCGCGGGATGTAGACTCACTGATGAGACATGCCCTGTCATGAAGTGACCTTTCCACGTAAATCTGGTGTGTGTCTCCCTAAATCGCGCCCGGTCGACAACAAGTACAGCGCAATCTATCAGAGGAAGAGACCCGACACAAGTTCCACCTTCTACAGAGTTATATAGTACACACGTACGAAATGGAACAATGGCTGGCTTCGTCCAGCTTTCAATATAACTCGCTGCAATGCATTAGGCCATTCTGTACATAGGCTGCAACTCATTCGCATACGGTTGATGCGACAGGAATATAGGAAAGATAAACCTGCTAAGGAGAGAACAGTGGCAAGACGACTAATTTGAACCTCGATAATCTTTCTAGCCACTCGCAGAACTAGGACGGTGCACTGGCATGCTCTTTACACCTGATCGTGCGAGGCCGCTGGTGAACTCCTAGGTCTCTCCTCTCCTGAACCGCGTGCTTCCCAGCCATCATGCTCTTACCCGCGGCATCGCGGCTTGCCACGTCATCGGGAGCGAGTTCATCGTCAACACACGGCACCGTACCGCCAGATCCGCAGCATCAGAAGTATCACAGCCATCCGCCTGGCGCGGCCGATGCGGCCTGGTTCGACGATCCGCACGACCTGCAGATTTTCGATCTAGCGTTAGATGAAGCCGACCCGACTTTAGGCGACCCTGATCCGCCGGCGCTTGCTCAGAAACTAGCCTCGCACAGGGAGATTAAGGAGCGAGTGAAAATGGAAAAAAGGCCGGTAGCTCTAGAGGAGAGATGTGGTGGCATGGAACGGCCAAGCCAATCAGGAAGCCTCGAAATTCGGAGAGGCGTCGAGGCGACTCGTAGCCTGGAGACTCTGGACCAATCAGCGAGGAGTTTCGCTGGTGAACCACATTACCCTGATCCAAGCATGAACTTTCTGGATTTACCCCATCCGTTGATCCTGGAGGTGCTCCGGCATTTGGACGTCCACGATCTAGCGTCGCTGTCCTGCTGCTGCCGCCTGCTGCATCGCCTGGCTGGAGAATCGTGCGGTTGGATGCGGTTCTACTGCGAGCGATGGGCGCCGCCTGTGATTGGTCTAGGTGGTGGGAGGGTGGAGGGAGGAAGAGAGGGAGGGGCACAAAGCGGCGGAAGGAAAAAGGGAGGAGGCGGAGGAGGAGAAGGAGGAGGGAAAGAGGAAGAGAGAAGACGAGGATTGAGAAGCTGTCAGTGCTCAAGCAAGCCAAGCACAAGAGAGGAGAGTAGCAGTTACGCGTCAAGACCAGGCGCATTACCCGGTGTCAGCGAGCCTAGACATGGAAGAATAGGAGCAGCGGGAGCGGAGGAGAACGACAGAAGGGAATTGAGAGTGATTGGTGTCGATGGTGGTGGTGGTGACGGTGGTGACAGTGGTGAGAGGGGTACCGATGATGGTAGCATGGGTGCAGGTGGGGTGAACTGGAGAGAGATGTATTTGCAGCGGCAAAGGCGCTCCATGGTGTACCTGGGAAGGTTCCAGTGCGATTTCCTCGCAGGTCACACGTCCGGCGTGCGTGCTGTCAGGATGCTTACTCGTCCGCCCTTCCGCTTCTCCTCCTCTCACTCTCCCTCGCAATCTTCCTTGCACCCCTATTCGTTGCGCGAGCCGCCTCTGAACCCTCCCTTCTCTCTGGCCATTACTGCTGGTTATGACTCGACCATTCGAATCTGGTCGCTGGATGATTGTTGCAGTGCTGGTTATCACTCCAGTACCACTCCCCATTCCTCCATCCGTAACAGTTACAACTTTAGCAGTTTCAGCGACAGCAGCAGCAGCAGTTACAGTTACGGATACAGTTACAGCAGCGGAATCCCCATCGCCACGTCACCGCCACTTGGCGAGACGGTACGGGCCGTGGCGGCAGGGCTGGACTTTCTGGCAGTGGGCGGCACGGATGCGGTGATCTGGATCTGGCGGGCGGCAAACGATTGTCCATATCTGTTTGACGTGTCTGGCATGTGGAGCCATACCCAAGCAGCTAAAACCCTTGCCGGCCAACTTGCTGAGTCTGTCAGAAACGGTCCACTCGATTCAAAAGAAGCTCCCACTTCATCTCCCTCACTTCCCTCTCCTCCGCCTCCTGCTGCTGCTGCGGCTGCTTCTGCTCCATCTCACCTGCCCTCGGTTCCCGTCCTGCTGCACGGTCACATGGGTCCCATCTCCTGTTTGGCTCTGGAGGGGGGGTACCATGCTTCAGGTTCGAACAGGTGGCAGCTCCCCCGCTCATCATCATCTTCCCCATTGCCATCCTCCTCTAAAGATTCTAATTCGTCCTCCATGCCCGTTTCGTCCCGCCGCCTCCTCTTCTCCGGGTCATGGGATTCGACCATTCGTTGCTGGGACCTTTCATCTTCCCTCTCCTCATCCTCCTCCTCCTCTTCCTCCTCTTCCTTTCCAACCATCTATTCCTTCCGCCATGCTGACTGGGTATACTCCCTTCAGCCCCGCTTCTCCCCTTCTCTCTCGTCCCCTCCCCGCCTCTTCTCCACGGCTGGTGCTGACGTGTACTGCTGGGACGTGGAGACAGGCACGCTCCTGAAGCGACACGTGGCAGCGCACACCGGGAAGGCGCTTGCTGTCCAAGCGAGTCTGTGTGGCCGGTTTGTCTTTTCTGGAGGGGAGGATGGGGTGGTGAGGATGTTTGATCAGAGAGTAGGAGGAAGAGGAGGAAAAGCGGACAGAGGAGGGAGATTAGGAGGAGGAAAGGGAGGTGGAGGAGATAGTGGAGGGAGAGGAGGGAGAGGGGGGGGGAGGGAGGAGAGGGGGGGGGTGTATGGGATGCAGTGGCAGAATGGCATGCACACAGCAATGACGTGAATTGCCTTGCCTTTGAAGACCCATGGCTCGTTTCGGCTTCTACTGATGGCTCCTGTGCACTTATGGACATTAGAGCAGCTGCTGCAGTTGCAGGTCGTTGTAAAGGTAGCGGATGGGCTTATAAAGGGGATCGGTTGGGGAGAAACGGGGTAGGTGAGGACAAGAGGAGAGGAGGGGGGATGGTGGGATTTGGGGGGTGGTGGAAAAGAGGGGGTGGAGGGGGAGGTGATAGTAAGTGTGGCACGGGGAATGGTGGTACTACCAGTAAATGGCTGTCAGCTTGGGCTGTTGGGGCGAATGGGGAGATAGGTGAGGTTGTGGAAGGGACCGTTGCGAGGAGATTAGGGGGGTTGAATTCCTCGGTCCTGTGCGTGGATATAAAGGACGAGAGGGTGGTGTGTGGTGCTGCCAATTCTGATGTCCGGGTGTTTGACTTTCGGCATGCGTTGGTGGAAGGTGAGGGTGGGAAGAGACCAGGGAGGGGGAGGAGGGGGAAGGGGAAGGAGAAGGAAGTGAAGGACGGATGGGAAAGGTCTTGATGATGGCCATAGTGTAAGATCTGTTTAAAGATGTTGAGGTCTCTAAAGAGGGAATTGGTTTGCCCATGTACTAGAACTAGTTGGGTCACCTGCTTTGAAAAAAGGTTGGATGTACATGTTGCTATTATTTAGAAAGTACACCTATCTTTTGTAGATATCTCAAATAAACTTAACACACCACGCCACGGTGTTGTCGAACGTCAACAGCGCCCAGGATCACGGAACAGCTTCGATAGCGATTGGTTCGCGATTGGTTCTGTGCTCATCCAACGGCTCCAGCCGAACACCCTCCCAATCAAACAACAGTTGGACCCAGAGGGGGGCCAAAAAGCAGAGGGCAAGGTTTTGCAGCATCATTTGCTCTTTGGATGGTTTCTGTTCGAGATGAAAGTCGGTTCTGCAGTTTTCAAAATATTTAATCTGGGTTACAGTGCGGTTCTTAATCTTGCCGACAACCAGTTCTCAAGGGGAAGAGAACGGAGAAGCAAACAGTCTGAAAGGTCAATTCAAGTCTTGGAGAATAGACGCTACCGTACTTAGTTTATTCCACCATTCGTGAGAACCAGCTTACCTTGGTCTTGGGTTAGCCACCTCAAGAGAACCAGCGGAATGAGGTAGATGCGATTGTGCCTTTTGGTTGTTGGAGAACGCAAGCAGCGGCAGCTTGTGCTGATCGGCAAGCTCCATGAGCCATTGATACGAGTGCGAGGGTATTGAGAAGCATGAGCTTGTGACGAACTAGTCGGTCTGAGAACCATGTCCGGACTTAGAACGACGCCATTAATGAAGGACCTATGACCGTCTGTAGTGTTTTCCTGCGTTGGCTTCTGATCGTCCGAAGGCATGGCTGGGTTTAGTGGTTTCCCGAATCAATCTGGACCGTTCGATGGGCCAGGATCACAGTCTTCGCAATGCTGTTTCTTCACCGAGGAGTCGCAGACCATCGGTACCGACGATCAGCCGGGTCCAACCAACGGCCACGATCGCACGTCGTCCGCACAAGTTGATCTCCGTTTCCTGCGACGCTTGCTGGCCATTCTGCGACTCGCTGGTGCGAAATACGCCGTCATCCTGTTACTCCTCGCGCTCGCGAACATCCCCATTGTCGCGAAAATGGGAACCGTTACAGGAACGTTCTATTTCGCCCTCGTCAATGGCAACCCCGATGCTTTCCTCAAGACCCTCGGGAATTCCGCGATCTGGCTGACCCTGGCCGCCGTGTCCACGGCGCTCACTGATTGGTCCGCGCAGTTCCTTTGCCTGAAATGGCGGAAGACGCTAACGTCCGCGTGCCACGTGGCGTACAGGCGGAGCAGCTGGCTGTACTTCGCATCTCTCGAGAAACGCGGCTCATCTGCTGTCCATAATGCCGCTACAAAAGCGAAAGCCCCTTCTGTACCCGTTATAGACAACCCCGATCAACGGATCACGGAGGACATTCACCGATTCGCGGAGCAGGTCTCGCTCCTCTTAAGTAGAACAGTAACCGCGCCGCTTACCGTGTTATACTACAGCTGCTGGGTCGTGTCTCTAATCGGTCCCACGGGCCTCCTAATCATCCTCCTATTCTTCACAATCGGAGCCGTCATTACGCGCCGCGTTATGTCTCCAGTCGCGGCGCTAGTGGCCGAGCAGGAAAGGCGGGAAGCGGAGTTTCGTATGGCGCATGTCAGAGTTAAGGAGCGATCCGAGGACATCCTTTTCTCGCGCGGCGGGGACGCCGAGGCGCGCCAGCTCAGCGCTGAGCTTGCAGCCGTCCTGGCCAATCAGGAGAAGCTGGTGTGGCGGTACTTAAAGCTCGGAATAACCACCAAGGTGTTCGACTATGCAGGCGTGGCTGTTAACTATCTAGCCCTAGCTGCACCTGTGTTCGGAATAGTCGGAGCAGGTATTTCTGGGGGAGGTGGAGATAGTAAGGATAAGGGGGCCGTTGCACAGTGGATTAGCAACGCCTCGTTTGCGATCTTGCAGCTGATATTCGGAGGATCTCAGATCATCGATGCTGCTAAGATTATATCGGATTCTGCTGGGTATACTGCCAGGGTTGGTGAGCTGTTTGAGTCGCTGCAATTGTTGCCTTCTGATCGGTTGCAGTCACATCCGGTACAGACACATGGCAGGGATGAGCCGTTTCCACCCCCACCCGCACCCGCACCCGCAACAGCGGCAGCGACAGCAGCAGCGTCACCACCACCAGCGGCACTAGCATCGCCACCACTGTCGAAAAGAAGGGGTTTATGGGAGAGACTAACTGGGCGGAAGAGTTCTGATTACACAACAAAATGTGGTAACACCGATGTGAGCGAAGTGACGGGCCTATTGGACGTCAGGGTGGAAACTGGGGACGGTGGAGCCAGGAGGAGCTCCGACGTAAATGAATCCAAGCAGCAGACGAAGCAGGTTGGTGGAAAGGTGGCTGGGTACGGGACATGGGGAGGGGAGAGAGGCAGAGCAGCGAGTATACTTGCATGGAGCGGGGTTTCAGGGGACTTGGCGCGCGAGGTACATTGTGAGCACACGCGGATCGCACCGTGTGGTGGAGAATCTATGGTACAGGAGGCACGGGAATTCATGCTGCAGGAGCCGACTTGGCTGATGGCGCCAATACCAGGAGGCGGCGGTGGGAGGGCCGATGGGCGAATCCAGGGGACAGCAGATGCAGGAGGTGATGGGAGAGGCGGTAGGAGTGCTGATGAGACAATTGCAGTAAGGAACAGCATGCAATCGCCGTGCTGCCACGTGTCTGCAGAGGGACGGCTGCATGCCCACGCTGCCATGCACCCGATCCTACAATACTCCATTCACTCTGTCCCGCCTGAACTGCGCTCCCTTGTAGCCGCCCTGCTGCCACAACCCAGAGGCGGAAGGGGGAAGGTGGAGACGAGAAGGGAAGCTGCACGTGTGGGCGAGGCATGGGGCGTGAGTGTGACAGTAGGGGATGTGGGGGTGGAAGGTGTGGAGATAGAGGAGATGAAGGTGGAAGATGTGAGAGTGGAGAAGGTGAGAGTAGAGGATGTGAAGATAGTGGTGACGTTTCAGTGCAGTGATGTGCCTCTCTGGCCCATCCACAGCGACTCCTCCTCCTGCTGCTGCTCCTGCTGCTCCTGCTGCCTCTGCTACCATTGCCCTTGCTCCTGCTGCTCCTGCTGCTGCTCCAACCCCGTGCTCGAGTGCAGGGAAAGGCAGTTCCACACATGCAGGCGTGGGTTCAGCAGACTCAGTCCCACCAACGCAGGCAGATGTGAGCAGGGCGATGAACCGGCTGCTGTTCAACTCCCGCCTCTTCCAGCAGCAGCTCTGCGAGCAGGAAGGGAGCACAGCACTTGCAGACGCGAGTCCAGCAGACTCAGCCACAGCAGCACATGCCGACTTGAGTCCCGCAGGTGCAGGCGCACCAACACAGGCGGATGTGAGCAGGGCGATGAATCGCCTGCTATTTAACTTCCGCCTCTTCCAGCAGCAGCTCTGTGAGCACATCTGGGCGGCCGGCCACTGGGCTGACGCTGTCGACCCCCTCACCGGCTACCTCATGCACGCTGCTTCTCGCACCAGTGGCAGAAGCAGCGGTCGTGCTGCTTCTCACAGTGGTGGTGTCACCTTAGAGAATTCTCAAAAGCAGCTCTGTGAGCACATCTGGGCGGCCGGCCACTGGGCTGACGCTGTCGACCCCCTCACCGGCTACCTCATGCACGCTGGTATCGGCGGTGGCAGTAGCAGTGACAGTGGCGGTGGTGGTGTTGGTGGTGCTATCGGTGGTGGTAGCAACAATGCTGTTGGTGTTGGCGGTGGTGCTGGTGGTGGTGCTGGCAGCACGTGGCCATTCCCAACGCCCATCAAGTACAACGAGGTGGACATCGCTCAGATCCTCCTTGGCTACCCCGTTGCTCCCACTTCCACCACGACCAATGAAGCAGCAGAAGCAGCAGAAGCCGTAGCTTTTCTGGGCTCAACTGTGCCTCTCACCGCTGCAGAAGCAGCAGCAGCAGCAGCAGCAGGAGGAGCAACACAGCCAGCAACACCAGCACAACCAGCAACGCCAACAGCACCAGCATCACCATCCATGCCCTCATGCCCCCTCATTCTCCACCCTTCCTTCGGCACACACACCTACCCAGCCTCCCTCCTCACCACCGCCCCTCTCCCGCTCCTGCAATCCGCCATCCGCCACGTGGCAGGCTCTGGTTGGCGCCTGCCAGGCTGGCAGGAGGAGCCGGGGGTGCTGGTGGTGGGGCAGGGGACGGGGGATGGGAAGAGGAGAGGTGTGACTGGAACAGGGAAGGGGGAGGAGGGAGGTTATGTGGAGGAGTTGTTAATGGCACCTGAGCTTGAACCTGAACCTGAACGTGAACCTGAATTTAGACCTGAACCTGAAGCTGAGGTGCACCCACCGTGCCACACCTGCTCCCCCTCCTCCTTCCCTCCCGCACTCTCCCTCTCCCGACTCACTCTCACTCTCCCCCACACCAACCACCTCATTGTCACCAACCTCTCCCTCCATCTGCCACGTGGCAAGGCCTTACTGGTCACCGGGCCTAGTGGTTGCGGCAAGACCAGCCTCCTGCGAGCCATTGCTGGACTCTGGCCAACCAGCAGCAGCCACGTCAGCAGCAGCAACAGAATCCCGTCTGGTGCAGTTCCGATCCCCCCTGTGACGCTATACCCTCCTGCTGCCTGCCCCCATGTCATGTTCCTTCCCCAGAAGCCCCTTCTTGCGCCCTCCCCCTGCCTGGCTGCTCAAGTCATGTACCCCTTTCACCCTGAGGGTATTCCCAAGGCAACTTGCAGTGGGAGAGAAAGGACAGACGAGGGTACAAGGACTAGGATGGAGGCTGCTCTTGCTGTGGTGGGTTTGACGCATCTGTTACCCCATTTTGCGTCCTTGTGTGATAATGTACTAGTGGAGGCTGAGGAGGATGCTTCTGGGAAGGAGAGGCACTGTCAGCAGCACTGGGTGGAGCAGCACCAAGGCTGTTCCAACCTTGGGACGTCTGTACAACGGCCGGTTAAGGCTCAAAGTTGGACTGAAGGGCTTTCTCCAGGGGAGCAGCAGCGGCTTCAGTTTGCAAGAGTGGTGTTTCATTGCCCGAGATTGGTTTTCCTGGACGAAGCTACGAGTGCCGTAGATGGTGAGATGGAAGCGCGGATGTATGAGTGGCTTGCAATGGCTGGGGTTGCTATTGTTAGTGTTAGCCATAGAAGAGAATCTCTGCGGAGGTGGCACCATGCTGAGCTTGTGCTAGAGGGGGATGGAACAGGAAGGTGGAGAATAATGCAATGAGATGTCATGTGTGTATGCCTTACAAACATAAGTACATCCGCAGTCGTAAGCCTTCCGTAAAACGCAGATGCTCAAACTGGGAGGTGGGTATGGTTGTGGTGATGATGAGCCATGATGACAGCACGCGAGCCGTGCTTTCGAAAGACAGCGGATTGGTCAAGGAGACCGACAAATGAAAAGCCTGCCACGCTGGCTCCACAAACTCCAGCGCGCTTTGAGAAATCGTGATTGATTCCTCCGATTTCTTTCCCATTCGCCAGGCATCTTGAGCTAATTGATGTTGCCTGCCACACGATCCACGTGGTTGACCCAATCGGAGGGTGGATGCCAACCTCGTGGACCACCATCGAGCATGCCGAGGTATTATGACGTGGCAACGCGCCTCCTCCGAGATTGGTTGTTTACGGCGAATGATTTCAATCAAAAGGCCACTTTCAAAATAAGAGGTAGGAAATAACCAACGGGTAATTCATGGCAGACAGATTCAGGCAGAATGATTGTCATTGGTTAGTGGAAGCTAGTAAGTCTGAGGTAGGAAGTTACCTCCATAATTTACGATAACGAGGAAAGGACGTACCTGAAGGTTGACGACCAGCCAAAGCGTCGAACGTCGTTCATAAGTTTCTCTGTTCGCATAGACGTATCGGAGCTCGACTACTAAGAAACTTTGTAGTCGTACTTTCTGAAGCATAGGTCCTCCGTTGTCAGAAACGTCCGCCTTTTCCAAGACGTACCGAGCTCCTTGCCTTGCTTCCTCCGTAGTAGGACAAGTCTTTCTGCGTAGCATTGCTGAATTCAGTGATTGTTGGACATTCTCTTGTTCACCAATCGTACAACTGCTATCCCCCTACTTCGAAAGAACCTCTTACGGCAACCATGGCGGCGGTTCGTTCGCTTATCTCGTCCGTCAGACTCACTCCGGCTGCAGCAGTACCACTCAAATCCTCAGCCTCCTCACTCGTCCGCGACGAGTCGAGAAATCTCAACTTAAGCGTGAATCTCGCCGCATCATGCTCATCAACTAAGGGCTCTCGTCGAGTCGCACCTCCTTCTGCTGCGGCGACTACCCTCGCGGCTGCTGCTGCAGCACCCACAGCGGAGGACGCGCCGTCGGTCGCGGCGTCAGAAACGAAAGTCACGACACCGCCGCGGCGCCGCCTGAAGGTGGGGTGCCACGCGGCGCAGGGGCGGCGCGACGAGATGGAGGACCACGTGGTGGTTCTGGAAGACATAGGCGCCGGGTTCCTCTACGCCGGCGTGTTTGACGGCCACGCAGGTGCGCGTTTGCCGGCGTGTTTGGCGGCCAAGCATGCAGCTTTCTGAGCGTTTCGGTTTCTACGCTTCTAAGAAGCTTCCGAGATTCTGAGCATTTGAGCGTGTGTTTTCCACTGGAAATCGTGTTTGTCGCACGTGCAGGCGCGTCTTCCGCGAAGTTTCTGAGCGACGAGCTGCATGACGACTGCATGGAGGCACTGGAGGGCGGCGCGGTGCTGGAAGATGAGGACCTCACGGCCGCCGAGGACGCGCTTGAGGATGCTTTCCTTAAAGCCGACCAACGGCTGCTGCAGTGGTGAGTGTTTGTGCTTGTGTGGTGAGCCTGTGGGGTGTGCTTTCATCTCGCGGTGCTGGAGGATGAGGATCTGACGGCTGCGGAGGGCGCGCTTGAGGACGCGTTTCTCAAAGCTGATCAACGCCTGCTGCAGTGGTGAGTGGGTGTGCTTGTGGAGTGTTGGCGACTGCTGCAGTGGCGAGTGGCTGTTGAGTGTGTGGTGAGCTTGTGGAGGCGCTGGAGGGCGGCGCGGTGCTGGAGGACGAGGATCTGACGGCCGCGGAAGACGCGCTCGAGGACGACCAGAGACTTCTCAAGGCTGACCAGAGACTTCTGCAGTGGTAAGAGGGCCTGGTGGTGTGGGGTGGGTTGTGCTTGGTGGGTTGGGTGTGCATGACGACTGCATGGAGGCGCTGGAGGGCGGCGCGGTGCTGGAGGACGCGCTGGAAGATGCTTTCCTTAAAGCCGACCAACGGCTGCTGCAGTGGTAAGAGGGCTTGGTAGGGTGAGTGTGTTTGGTGGTTGTGTTTGTATGGTGTGCTTGTTTGAGTGCTGGCACTGGAGCGCGGTGTTGGAAGGTGAGGATCTGACGGCAGCGGAAGGCGCGCTGAAGACGCGTTTCTCAAGGCCGATCAACGGCTGCTGCAGTGGTAAGAAGGCTTGGTGGGGTGGGCCTAAACGTCAACGCGCATGGCCCCTTCCCTTCCCCCGTCCTCCCCTCCTCCCCCCCTCCTCCCCCCCTCCTCCCCCCTCCTCCCCCCCGCGCACAGGCTGGAAGAGCACAGTTCCGAGCCCGAGTCCGGTTCCACCGGTACAGTGGCGTTTGTGCGGCACGACCGGCTGTTCGTGGCGCACATAGGCGACTCGCGCTCATTCCCCCCATCCCCTTCTCCTCCCCTTGCGCATACCCTCCCAAATTGCTTCCCCAGGCTGGAAGAGCACAGTTCCGAGCCCGAATCGGGTTCCACCGGCACTGTAGCATTCGTGCGGCACGACCGGCTGTTCGTGGCGCACATAGGCGACTCTCGCGCCGTGATGTCCCGATCACATGTCCCCCGATCCCCCCTTGCGCAGGCTGGAAGAGCACAGTTCTGAGCCCGAGTCGGGATCAACAGGCACTGTAGCGTTCGTGCGGCACGACCGGCTGTTCGTGGCGCACATAGGCGACTCGCGCGCCGTGATGGCCTCTCGCCCCAATCCCCCGTCAATTCTTCCCCTCCCTGCATATCCCTGCGCTGCACCCCAGGCTCGAGGAGCACAGTTCTGACCCCGAGTCGGGATCAACAGGCACTGTAGCATTCGTGCGGCACGACCGGCTGTTCGTGGCGCACATAGGCGACTCGCTCTCATCCCCCCCGTCTCCCCTTGCGCATACCTTCCCCAATTGCTTCCCCAGGCTCGAGGAGCACAGCTCGGAGCCAGAATCGGGCTCAACAGGCACTGTAGCATTCGTGCGGCATGATCGGCTGTTCGTGGCGCACATAGGCGACTCGCGCGCCGTGATGGCCCGATCACATCACATGTCCCCCCATCCCCCCTTGCGCAGGCTAGAAGAGCACAGCTCTGAGCCCGAGTCCGGTTCAACAGGCACGGTGGCGTTTGTGCGGCACGACCGGCTGTTCGTGGCGCACATAGGCGACTCGCGCGCCGTGATGGCCGTTGGGGGCGACGAGGGGTACATCTCGGACGACCATAAGCCCAGCGGCGACTCGAGCAAGGCGCAGGCGGAGATTAAACGAATCAACAAGGCGGGCGGATGGGTGAGTAGTTTGTGTTGAGTCACCACACATGTTCCCCCCATCCCCCCTGCTCCGTTGGGCGCGCCGTGATGGCCGTTGGGGGGGGCGACGAGGGGTACATCTCGGACGACCATAAGCCGAGGGGGAGGGGTGTGGTGTGGGGGGGGTTGGGGCTGGAGGCGACGAGGGATACGTCTCAGGCGACCATAAGCAGAGGGGGAGGGGTGGGGGGCGGTGGGGAGGGGTAGGAGGGGTGGGGTGGGGTAGGGGATACCCAGCGGTGGGCGCGCCGTGATGGCCGTCGGGGGCGACGAGGCGAGGGGTACATCTCGGGCGACCATAAGCCCAGCGGCGACCTCAGAAGCAACGCTCTCCCAATCCACCCTATCTCTCCCTTTATCCACCTGCCCGTCGCCCTCCCCCCCTCCACCCACCTCCCCGTTCGCAGGTGAGTCAAGGGCGGGTGTGTGGCGTCATTGCCGTGTCTCGGGCCTTTGGCAATGTGGCTTTCAAGACGAGAAAAGAGGAGTGAGTCACTGACTGAGTGAGTCGTGCTTCTGAACAAGTAACCAGCTTTACCAATACACCTACCTGGATCAATCACTGCACACAAAACAAACAAACAAACAAGCAAGCAAGCAAACAAACAAAACTAAGACAAATAGAAGGGAACCGACAAGTAAAGTACTTGTATGCACATCAATGCCCTACTCTTCCCACTGAACCACTCTTATACCATGCTGAACCGCACTTTACCGCACTGTGCTCCTTTACGTGCAGGATGATGCAACAAGGAGTGAAGAAGGGCAAGTGGACCACCAGATGGGTCTCCAAGTAAGTATTTTTTCGCTGCTTGCTGCTTACTGCTTGCTGCTGCGGTCAACAAAACCGAACCGAGTCTGATTGCTGCTGCGTTTAGTCATTATGATGGTGAAGAAGGGCAAATGGACCACCAGATGGGTTTCCAAGTAAGTTGGTTATCGCTGCTTGCTGCTTGCTGATTGATGCTTGCTGCTCGTTGCTCATTGCTTGCTGCTTCCCCGTACCTTCTTCCCCCTGCCTTCTCCCCCTTGCCTTTTCTCCCCTGCCTTCTCCCCCTTGCCTTTTCTCCCCTGCCTTCTCCCCCTTGCCTTTTCTCCTCTGCCTTCTCCCCCCCGCCTTTTCTCCCTGACTTTTGCCCCTGCCTTCTCCCCCGTACCTTTTTCCCTGCCTTTTTGCCCCCTTCTTTCTCCCCCCTGCCTTCTTTTCCCTGCTTTCTTCTCCCTGCCTTATCTTTCCACCCTTCTTCTCGTTCCTGTTTTTCAGGAGGAAGTACGATTCTGATTGGATCTCAGCCCTCCCTGACGTGTACGGCACTGAGCTGACAGAAGATGCCGAATTCGTCATTATTGCGTCTGACGGCCTATGGGACGCCTTCTCCAGGTACAGTAAACGCACCTCTCCCGTGAACCTCACTAGTTCCTAGTGACACGTGCCGAATGACACCCTTCCTTCCAGTGCCTTGCTCCGCTCTGACGGCCTATGGGATGCGTTTTCCAGGTAGAGTAAACGCACCTCTCCCCGTGAGTCCTGTCAAATGACACACTTGAGAATTCTCATAAATGACACCCTTCCTTCTTAGTGCCCCACTTCCATCTGATGGCCTATGGGATGCGTTCTTCCCCAGGCCATCAGTACGGAATCTGCACCCCCCCGTCCTCTTCCTCACTCCCACACACCCACTTCCCTCCCTTTCCCCACCCGCCCTCCCTCCCACTCCCCCCCCACGCTCCACTACTCTGGCCGCTCTGAGGCACTGAGGTATGTGCGGGCCGAGATGGGGAGGCATGGGGACGTTGAAGTCAATGACTGCTCATACTGGAATATTTCCTTCGCTCCCTCCTACACACCCTTCCCCTGACACCCTGTTACACTGGCAGCTCTGAGGCGGTGTCGTTTGTGCGGGCCGAGATGGAGCGGCATGGGGATGTGCAGCAGCTTTCCCACACATCTACCCACACATCTACTTCCCTCTCTCCCTCTCCCATCACTCCCGTCCACTTTCAGCTCTGAGGCGGTGTCATTTGTGCGCAGCGAGATGCAGAAGCATGGGGACGTGCAGCAGGCATGCGAGGCGCTCGTGCACGCGGCTCTGCATGTGAGTGTATCAGCGTACACTGTACACTACAATATAACATCTTGCGCTGTACACTACAGTTTAACATCTTGCACTGCACACGTAGACAAACATGGGGAAGTGCAGCAGCAGGCATGGGAGGCGCTCGTGCATGCGGCTCTATATGTGACCTTGGTTGAACTCCCTTCCGCTGCTGCGCCCCTCCCTCTCAGGACCGTGGGACGGAGGACAACACGAGCGTCATCGCCCTCCCAGCTCATTCCATGTGTCTCCTTGTATGCTCACCTGCGTTCTGCTCTCTGCTGCGCCCCTCCCTCCCTCTCAGGACCGTGGGACGGAGGACAACACGAGCGTCATCGTCATTTCATTGAGAGACTAGCCTCCCTGTTCAAAACAGATACCGGTAGAACAGTTAGTCTTACACCCAATCATCATCTTATTCGCGAAGCTCAGTGCTAGCTAGCACGACCATCAAAGCTTATTGCCCGATCATCAAAGCAAATCGTCACAGCTAATCGTCCTGGCCAATTACCATCGCCCATAACCAATTGCAATCGCGATCAAGCCATGGCTATTCCTTTCTACATATATAGCCTGCTGAAGAATCATTCCGCTGTGGACATGTCCCAATCGTACATGTCCCAATCGGGTGTACCGCTCCGAACCGAACTAAACCAGAGAAGCGAAAATTTTGAAACTAGGGTGTAATTCGGTGTAATAAGATGCAGTGCGGTAGAATCGATTGGGACACATCGATTGGGACGCTGTCCACAGCGGAATGTACCCTCAGTCTGCCTCTCAGGCACCCTTGTTTTGTCACTTCCACCTGAAGAATCACCTGTCGCTCCACCACCAGTCAGAACTATCACGCCATCTTCCTGGCTCTGTTGCAGTCTTCATTAGGAAATGTGACATGCTGTGCCAACAGTCATAATTATTCAATGCCATTTGCCTGGCTCTTTTGCAATCTTATCTTAAAATCTGTAAGAGCGAATCCCGTAATAGCTACAGCGTTTTTTAGCAAGCAGTGCAGGCCATATCAACAAGCAGAGCACAGCTGAAGGGAGAGAACAGATATTGGAGCATCCAGAATGGAAAACAGCTTATCGTACTTAGACACTACAGCACCTAACCATTCACAAACTACCAGTAACCGACCGAAACAAAACATCCATTCGTAAGCACTAACGCAGTTCCTTCCGGATCAGAGCGGACCATCCAACCCTAGTCATTTCCCACCGCCGAGGCTAAACGCTAGCTTCGGCCGGGCATTCTTCTTCCCCAAGATCTTCATCTGCTCCTTCTTTGTCTTCTCCTCCTCTTCCTTCTTCTTCCTCTTAGCCTCATCCCTCTGCCTCTGCTTCTCCTCCAACTCCCGATACCGCCTCTCCTGCTCCCTCGCCTGCTCCTCCAATCGCTGCCGCTCTGCCTCCTCTGCTTCTCTCTGCTTCTGCTGTAACAACTGCTGCTGCCGCTCTTCCTCCTTCCGCTTCTCCTCCTGCAAGGGATAGAGGGTTTGGTTGGGGCAGGGAAGTGAATGTGGGAATGTAAAGAGTGGCCAAGACAAAGAGAGAGTTTAGGCACAAAAGAGAATCACTTTCTAAGTCCGACTTCTGGCCTATTTCTTCAAACTCAGAGGCTCCTTCAAGTATCCAAGAAACAGAGGGTTGCAACATTTCTTGCCCCAACCCTCCAGGCTTACTGTCCCCATCCTTGCCACCCCTTCAACACCCTTCTCAACGCATTTAAAAAGGGCTCAAACAAATGAACTCCCCCTCTTTCCCTCTCACCTCTTTCCGCCTCTTCTCCTCCTCAGCAGCCTCCTTCTCCTCCTCTAAAGCCCTCGCCACCTCCCCAGGAAGCTTCCGCCGGCCTTCCTCAATTAAAGCCGCCATCTCCCTCTTAATTTCCTCAGAGGTAAGTTCCCGCTCCACACGCTCCCGAATCGCCTCTTCAAGCCTCCTTGTAGTCTCCTCCGCTATAAGCTTCTCCATTGCCTCTTCTCGTAACCTGCACACACACACACACATAAAGGAAGGACGAACGTTCGGAAATATGTGAAACACCTTAGGCACCTTTCCAGATTAACATCCCTCACCCATCCCACGCAGTTCTCGAAACCTAACCTACCTCCCAATACACTAGAATTGAGGGGTGTCAACTGTTTATACACCCAATTACAACGTTGACCAGCGCTGACTAGCATTGACTCACCTCTTCCTCTCAGCTCTCTCCGCGTCCTCCTTTGCCCTCCGCGCCTCCATCTCACTCTCCTTCATTTTCTCATCCCCTTCCGCCTCCCCCTCCCCTTTCCCCTCCGCTCCCCTCTCCGCCTCCTTTTCTGCCTCCTTCCCACCCAAGTCAGCTTTCTTCCGCTCGTCCTTTCCTTTAATCACCCCTTCCGCAACTCCTTTGCCCTTCTCCGCGCCTTTCCCGCCCTTATCCCCTTCATCAACCACGCTATTCCGCTTCCGCGCGTTTTCTCTCCGGGCGCGGGAGCGTGGGGAGGGGGAGCGGCGCGAAGGGGAAGGGGAGCGCGAGCGCCTGCGCGGGGCGGGGGAGCGCGAGCGGCTGCGGCTCAAATTCCGACGGCTGCTTCCGCGCGCACTTTCACCCTTGCGCGCGCCTTCCTGCTTCCGCTCATCGCCCCCTTTGCGCCCGCTTTCCCGCGCCTTGTCGCGACGGCGGGGGGAGGGGGACCTGCTGCGACGCCCTCTGGCCAATCAGCGACGAGGAAGTTCCCAAGGTGTGCCGAACGCACCAGAAGAGGAGCAGATGGGTATGGAGCGGTGTGGAGCGGCGAACGCACAGGCGAGAGGGAGGGGCGGAGACGAAGGGGGGATGGAGTGGGTGGAATGAAGTTAGTGCGGAAACGGTGGAATCGTGGCATGGCACTTAACTAAAAGCGGTCCAGTTTAGGGGATGGGAGGATGGGGAGGCAGAGGAAGCGGGGGGAGGGGAGGATAGGGGGGAATTGAGGAGAATTAGAATGGAGGAAGTACCGTCGAAGGGTGTATGACAGGGGACAAATGGCCGCCATTGGAAAAGAAAAATGAATCTGCAGCTCTTACAGGCACGCTGCGTTACAAGCACGATGCCTGTAATGACGAGTCTCTTACAGGCGAGCTGCAGGGAAATAGGGTCAGACACTGGCACCCTCCCAATACCGGACACGTGAGGACCGTTATAACGGGGATCACGTGGGTTTCATGCTGGGGAGAGTAGAGGCGATAACACGAGTCGAAGCGATAATAACGGAGAGAATGTCTTCCTGTGTTGGGTACTGAAGGTGCTGACGCCGCTCAAGGTCCCTGAAGGAGCTGATGACGCATAATGGAGCAGCGGATAACGAGTCCGAGCGCGGATGTAAGAAAGGAAACGAGGCGGAATGGAGGAAATTGTTCGATAACAGCATTCCCCGATAAATGTTATAAGCATGTCGACGCTCGGCAACGGAGAGCATGCGCTTTTAAGGAAGCGTGTTTATCGACGATTATGCAGGAGACGAGCACGCAGACGAGGCATGTCAGAGTCCCGACCTGCCGTAAGGCGATCTGCTTCGGCTCCGGCGGTTCCGTCGATCTTCCTTCCTGTCGTCTCGACGGTCGCCCTTCCGATCCTCTCTCCGACCCTCCTTCCGATCCTCTCTTCGATCGTCCCTTCGATCCTTGCGAGCCAATGAGGAACGAGGAGGAGGAGACCGGGAGCGAGACCGCGATTTCGATCGGACTGGAGAGGGAGATCGACGGCGCTTCCTTACTGGCGACCTCGAGCCACGTCGGCCCATTCCGTCTGAGATACCCGTTCAAAGCCTCTATTCTCTGGAAAAATAACTGATCGATATACCCGTTTAAAGTCTCTATATTCCGCGAACACTACCTTGGAAACTCGATTTCATCTGCCAAGGAGAGCAGCGACGCGAACATAATCACTTGCGACGATCACCAACATGGTAAGATTATCAGCGCGTCAGGGAACAGCCGTGGCCATGGCGGAAGATAGTGTTTGGGATGATAGTGAGGGAATGGTGAAACGGGCCTGGGGATTGTCACAAGTGGTTGGGTAAAACCGATGGAGTATGGTTCTGTGCAGTTTAGAACGGTTCGTGCGCTTCATCGTTCTGAACACAACCTGAACAAGTCGTTCTCGTTACAGGCTCGGTGGCGAGTGCAGCTAATTTAGGGTACAGAGTGTATGGTTCCAGTTGACCACACCTAGTTCAGTTGTGCTCTCAATTATGCAAACTCATGCTTTGCTTTAGAAACAAGATCTGCTACCACATAACGTCCACTACAACTAGGCTAGTCAATCATCAGGTAGATAAGAAAAAATGATACCATAGCTGAACTAAAGCAACAGGCAGGCACATCCACTATGCTCCACAATGCTCCGCATAAGAGGCTGGCTGTCCACCACCTCAAGCACCTCATGCATCTGGCTGGCTTTGTGACTGCCATTTCTCATGCACAGAAATAATACAGCGCCTCATCCGTAAGGTTCTTCTACAGTGTCATGTGATCGCGGTTACAGACTCATGCTGTATGGTAGATCATTAGCGAGTCACGCTTCACGCGCCAAAGTAGCACAACTCTTCATCCATCAGGTTGTTCAGCAGCCTCATGTGGTCCTGGTTGCCAATTGCCCCGAAGCTGAAACCAAACAAACTGTCATCCACATCCTCCTCCATTCCCACGGGACCCCCTCCCCCCTGCCCCATAGTCCCCCCACCAGTGGCCCCACCATTACCATTGGTAGTGCCATTGCTGCTTGCATTGGCAGCACCACTGGTGGTACCGTTAGCTGTACCCACACCAGCAGCCGCAGCACCAGCAGACATTCCCATGGCACCGGACACCGTTCCCAAACCTGCTGCTCTGGCTTGGCCCGAACCTCCTCCTCCAGCCCCATCGTCAGTAATGGTCTCGTGGGGAGATCCCAGACTTTGCTGCTGCTGCTGCAGCTGCTGCTGCTGCTGCTGATCCAGCATGCCCTCTAGGTTAATCATTCCGTCCAGGTTCGGCGAATCTTCGAGGACCGAGGCGAAGAAGTCGGGGTTGCTGGCAAGAACAGCCTCGGCATCGGAAAGCGCTCTCCGTTTTGCCCCAACCGTCACTCCCCCACCGGAATTAGCAGCACTGGCGCCGTTGCTAGCAGCAGCCGCAGCAGCCACAGCAGCAGAGAGCTCTTGGAACGCTGTCTGCTGCTCATCTTCCTGCTGTTGCTGCTGCTGCAGCTGCTGGTGCAGCTGCGAAGGAAGCATGCCCAGGTTACTCCTCCCAGACCCCCCTCCAGTAGCAGTTCCGCCGCCCCTGTTACTAGATACCATACCACCAGCAATACCACCAGCAACGCCACCAGCAATACCACTGGCTACGCCGCCAGAAATCGCGCACAAAGGGAGGTTCTGATCACTGAAGTTGCGGCGGAAGGGAGGGAGAGACGCGGCAGTGACTCGAGCCAAGGGATTTCGGGAAGCAGAGCGAGCGTTGCTGCTGCCCTCGTTTCGCTCCTCTGCCTGCACTCCCTGCTCCTGAGAGTCGTCTCTTCCTTCCAGAAACCCTGGCTGCTGCCCCTGCTGCCCCTGCTGCTGCTGCTTTGCGTCCTTCCTCCTCTGCTGCTGCTGCATCGCCTGCCCTTGCAGCATCACTTCTCGATACACGTCCTCCCCAACCCCACCAGAAGCTTCAGCAGCAGTGCCAGCTCGAGCCATCCCCCCTCTCGCAGCACCAGCAGACGCTGCAGCAGCACCATTCACACCAGCACCAGCATTAGCAGCAGCACCGGCGTTAGCAGCAGCGGCAGCAGCTGCAGCAGCCATCATCATTCCCGCATAGTGATGCGGCGGCGGAGGCATCCCATACGGCCCCATCCCCATGTGCCCCCCTCCCATGCCCATCATATGCCCGTGCCCGTACATACCCCCGTACACGTCAGCATACCCAGGTGTGTGAGCTGGCAGGCCCAGCGCCGCGGGATACGGGAGCGGCGGAGCAGGAGGGGGAGGGCCCATGATTGGCGGATGAGGCGCGGGAATTCCCCCCATCATGTTCCCCGCGCCCATGCCCATCATATTTCCGGGACCCCCGGGTGGTAGGTATCTCCCGGGAAGCTTCCCTGCCTGAGCAGGGACGCGTGGCGCAGGTGGTGCGGCGGCAGGAAAGGCGCCACACCGTCGGGCCCGCATGGATGCTGACGTGGCATGTGCGGGACGAAGCTTCCTGCGAACATGGTGGAAGCCGAGGAAGGGTTACCACCAGCAGCGGCGGCGTTTCTTGCCTTGCCGCTTCCGCCTGATGCTTTCGCGGCCGCGGTTGGAGGAGCGGAAGATATTGCTGACGTGGCAGGAGCAGACGGGCCTCCAGCCGTTGCCTTCTTCGGAGCTCCGGCTGTAGCAGTTGCGGCGGCTGTAGCTGTGGCAGCAGCAGCAGCAGAAGCAGCAGCAGCAATTTTTGCAGGGGGGGCTGCAGGTGCGTTTCCGCCAACATCAGCGCGCGAATCCCCCCCAGCAGCGCCAGTCTTTCCGCCGCTTGCGCCGCCGCTGGCTCCCGCGGAGCCGGCGGAATCCCCCTCTCCCTTGCCGGTAGGGCGGAACGCGCAGCTCGCTTGGTGCAGGTTTCGCGAGGCGCGGTCCGAAAACGCGTTGCGCCACAAGTGCCGCGGGCAGCGGTCGAACGGGCACATGAAAACTCTATGCTCGGGCAGCATCTCAACCCCCGCGAGCACCGCCTCAATCGGCGGCGCCACGTCATCATCGCCTCCGGGATTCCCGGCAGTAGCATCACCGCCGTCCCCTAGAATTAACAGCTTTTCCGCATTCCCCGGCGCCTGACCCGCAGCCGTGTCAGTAGCGGCGAGATTTGCTTGGATGTGATTCGTCACCGCCGGCATCCACGACTGCGGCTCGGCTTTCATGGCGGCGGCGGGCTTTCCGCCGACGCCGACGGCGCCCGCAGCGGGGTTTTTTCCAGCCGCCGCTCCTTCCGCTGCAGCGCTCCGCTGCTGCTGCTGCT